TTCCCAACATTGGCGATCTGTTCGACCAGCTTGGAGATGCTATGTGGTTCACCAAGCTAGATCTTCGCTCGGGCTACTATCAAGTGCGGATAGCAGAGGGCGACGAGCCAAAGACAGCTTGTGTGACGAGGTATGGCTCTTACGAGTTTCTTGTGATGCCATTCGGTCTCACCAACGCACCAGCCACGTTTTGCACTTTGATGAATCAAGTGTTCGAGCTATTCTTGGACCGGTTTGTCGTGGTCTACTTGGATGACATCGTCGTGTATAGCAAAACACTCGATGAGCATGCCGAGCATCTACGCCAAGTCTTCCAAGTCCTTCGCGACAACGAGTTGTACGTCAAGAGGGAGAAGTGCACATTTGCCGCCACGGAGGTTCCATTCTTGGGACACATCATTGGTGGAGGCAAGTTGAAGATGGATGGAGCGAAGGTGCAGGCAATCCAAGAATGGGAGCCGCCGACGAAGGTGCCAGAGTTGCGGTCATTCCTCGGCCTTGCCAACTACTATCGGAGGTTTATCAAGGGTTACTCCAACATTGCAGCACCCTTGACGGATCTCTTGAAGAAGAACAAGGCGTGGGATTGGTCGGAAAGGTGCCAAGAAGCATTCGAGGCCTTGAAGCAAGCGGTGGTAAAGGAGCCCGTGCTCGTGCTCCCCAACCCGACGTTGGCCTACGAAGTGCAGACCGATGCATCTGACTTTGCAATTGGAGGAGTGTTGATGCAAGATGGGCATCCCATTGCCTTCGAGAGTCGGAAGCTTAGCGAGACGGAGAGGCGATACACCGTTCAAGAGAAGGAGATGACGGCCGTGGTGCATTGCTTGCGCACATGGAGGCACTACTTGTTGGGATCAAAGTTCGTAGTGAAGACGGACAACGTGGCAACGAGCTACTTTCTGACGCAGAAGAAGCTCACCCCCAAGCAAGCGAGGTGGCAAGACTTTTTGGCCGAGTTCGACTTCGTCATGGAATACAATCCAGGCAAGGCGAATTCCGTTGCCGATGCTCTTAGCCGCAAGAGTGCAGCCGCAAGCATCAGCCAGCCTATGTTTCCTTTGAAGGAGCGGATCGTTGAAGGCCTTGGCCATGACCCCTTCGCCAAAACCGTAGCAGAGTACATCGAGCAAGGCAAGACTCGACGGTTTTGGATGAAGGATGGGCTCATCATGACCAAGGGAGAGCGTGTGTTCGTGCCAAGGTGGGCCAACTTGAGGAAGGAGATCATGAAGGAGTGCCATGATTCCAAGTGGGCGGGCCATCCCGGCATCGAGAGAACGCAAGCGCTCATCGAAGAAACATACTTCTGGCCGCGTATGAGAGACGACGTGGAGATGTATGTGAAGACTTGTCTTGTGTGCCAACAAGACAAGATGGAGCAGAGAAGCCCGACAGGCTTGCTAGAGCCCTTGCCCACACCTCAACGACCGTGGGAGAGTGTAAGCATGGACTTCATCATCGGACTTCATCATCGGACTTCCCAAAGTCGATGGATGCGGTTGCATCATGGTTGTTGTGGACCGGTTTTCGAAGTATGGAGTGTTCGTCCCCGGCCCAAAAGACATGACGGCAGAGGATGCGGCGCGACTATTCTTCAAGAACGTGGTCAAGTATTGGGGCGTTCCTAGCAACATCGTGAGCGACAGAGATGGGCGCTTCACGGGCAGATTTTGGCGAGAGTTGTTCAAGATCATGGGCTCAGACTTGAACTTCTCGACGGCATTTCATCCTCAAAGCGACGGACAGACGGAGCGGGTGAATGCCTTGTTGGAAGTGTACTTGCGCCACTACGTGAGTGCAAACCAACGAGATTGGGTGAAGTTGATGGATACGGCACAATTCTCCTACAACTTGCACCGCAGCGAGTCGACCAACACGAGTCCATTTGAGTTGGCGACGGGGCAGCAACCTTTGACACCTACGACGGTGGCAACGGGGTATAGAGGCAACAGTCCGGCAGCCTACAAGTTCGCTAAAGGCTGGCACGAGAAGATGGAGATGACCAAGTCTTACTTAGCCCGCGCTAGTAAGAAGATGAAGAAATGGGCGGACAAGAAGAGGCGGCACTTGGAATTCGAAGAGGGAGACATGGTGATGATCAAGTTCTATCCTCATCGCTTCAAGCATCTCAAGAACGTGCACAAGGGACTGCTTCGCCGCTATGAAGGGCCATTCCCCATCGTGAAGAGGATTGGCGCGGTGGCATACAAGGTTGAGTTGCCGACGCACTTGGAGATCCATCCGGTCTTTCATGTGAGCCAACTCAAGCCTTTCCACGAAGACAAGGATGATGAGCAACGAAGAGAGTCGCAGCGCGCTCCAACACTCATCACCAAGACACACGACCATGAAGTTGAAGAAGTCATGGCGCGTCGTGTCATTCCTCGTCGTGGCGTACATCCAAGCTTTGTGGAGTACTTGGTCAAGTGGCGTAACCTTCCGGAAAGTGAAGCAACTTGGGAGAAAGAGCTCACGCTTTGGAAGAACAAGGACTTGATCGAGGCATTCCATCAAGAGGACGCGACGAGGGCGTCGCGAGCATAGGTGGGGGAGGATGTCACATGTGGCCGATGACATGGCGCCAACAAGGTGACAACAAGGCTGCACATGTGTCATGCATGGAAGACTAGTAGCATAGAGATGCTCCTAGGATTCTCCACCTTAATAGAGAGCTTAATGGTGCACTTATTAGCTACATTATGGTAGTATTTATAGAGTGCATAATGGGGGGACTTAATGGGTGTATTGATGTAGTAGAGGGACATTATGAGGGGCATTGATGCCTTGTATGAGGAGAGGCCTATATAAGGAGCCATCTCCCTCACTTGTAACTCATTCCATCATTTTTGAGAGTAATACACACTAGAGAGTTCTCCCAATCCTTTGTCTTGTGTTCTTGTTCTTTGCTTTCAAGTGAGTTGAGAGAAAGGCTGCCTAGTGCTCTAACGGATTTGAGAGCTAGGGCCGCACGATCGAGAGTAAGGTCGTGACAGGAGGGGGAGAAGAAGTCGTTCGATGGGGTTAGGGTTACAGAAGCGAAATCGACGGTGTTTGGTGTGGCTGACAAAAGGAGGGAAAAAAAATGTTTGGTCGCTGCAATAGTTGTAAAATAAGGTGGAAAAATGAGATGGAAATTGTAAATATTTAATTTTATTATTTTATTATTTTATTATTTTATAATGGTCACGTCACTCATTTGACGGTCAACTATAATAGTTGACTGCCATATCAGCAAAAACTAACGGAGACTAACGGAGAGTGACCAAACTTGAACTATTGAACTAATCTTAGTGACCATGAATGAAATTAAATATTTGCAGTGACCAAATATGAACGGTTTTAGTAAACCCAGTGACCATCCTTGCAATTAACCCATTTTTTTAAACACTATCTTTGACTCACGCGACGCCATCCCAAGCTGTGCGCCATTTCGTATGCCTGTCGTTTGGTCCATCTTCCTGGGCTTGGAGATGTGGGCTGGGTTTGAGGTTTGAACTTTAAAAACTCCAGTATCCATAATTCCTGCGGCCCACTTCAAAAGGAATGGGCCCAAACTAGAACTATTCTTAACCAATGGACTCGAATTTGACCCACGACTTGTGTAATTTGTTAACGAGATCGCGCGCTCTCTCTTTCTAGCCGTTCGCATGTGGTTCCATCAAGTGAATGCCTCTATCGGTTTTAGCTATGGTTTAAATCTGTTAACGAGTCGATTTGGTGGGGTTGTTTTGCATCATACATGAGGACGAGGGGGTGGAGTACAACCTTCATGCTCGCTCTGGAGCATCGAACTATCATCTTGCAACTCTTCTTCATTGTTTTCTCACCCATAATAGAAAGGTGAGGATCGGATGGGTTCCCGTGATAACGATTTTGTCAGCACTTATTATAATTATTACCACATGTTTCTATCAACGATAACACATAATTTCATCTAGCACATCTTTCACACCAAACTCTGTAATGACAATAGCCGAATTGCATTAAGCAGCTAATCAACCAACAGAACTATCAATTAGGGCTTACTGGTTAGTTACCACTAAACCAACCAGTCTAATCTTGTTCCTCTTATTTTCCCCAATGGATATATCTCTCTGCTAATTTGGCATCATCACTACCCACAGATATCTCAGAAAAAAGTGAAAAAAGAGTACCAGAAGAGCTGACGCTGATCTGACTAGGAAAAACAAACAAACAACAACAACCAGAACAAAAAGCCAATCCACCAATTCCCCAAAACCCCATGCACAAAAAAGATACGTTCTTTCAGAAGAACAGAAAAGCAGGATAGAATCATTAAAGGCACACGAATGCATGATGCACACACACACATCACTGTATCGCCAGGTGGAAGCATCCATGGCGCCACCTGTCCCAAACCCACCTCAAAAAACAGAGAACGAACATCAATTGAGAATTGAGATGATAGCTAGCGGCGGCCGTTTCATCTCTGTTATTATGCCACAGCTATCCACATAAATGGAAGCGTCTGGCCTCTTTGCTTCTGCTTCTGGGGATCTCCACTCATGGCGGTTGAGGGCGCAAAGATAGATAACGAACGAAGGAACGAACCCCATGTCTCTGAAAAAAAGCATAACCCTTTTTTTTTCCTTTCCATGAAGGAATATAATTATTAGCAGCGATCAAAAAGCTTCCCTTCCCACCTTTTCTTCCTCTTTCGTGGATTCGGGTAGAACTTGGGTTGGCCCCTCTGCTTTCTTTAAAAAGCTCTCTGCTTTGCTTTACTTCTTTGCATAAACAACCCCCAATTTCTCTCTGGGTCACATCTAGAGAGGCAGAGAGATTCTTTTCCCCCCTCTCTTCTCTTTTAAAACCTCTGATGCTGTAACTCAAAGAGGTTAGGAGAGCTTCCCACTTTTTTCTTTCTTCTTTCCTTTCAATTCCTCAAGGATCGGAGAGATCAGAAGTTTTGGAAAATGTGTCTCCAAGTTGTTCCTCCTCGCGGCGGCGGCCGTCGTTGCCATCATGTGGTGGCGATGGGTCGGAGATGGGTGGTGGTGCAGGGGATTGATGGTCGTGTGGCAGAGGATGCAGGGGAGGCGGCAGGGAGAGTTGTCACCGGCGGGGACGGCGGCGGTGGGATGAGGTGGTGCGTTTGTTCGCCGACGACGCACCCGGGGTCGTTCCGGTGCAGGTATCATCGAGCTGGTTATGTATGGGGCGCTGCCGCCGGCGCGGCGGCCAGCAGATCAATGGTGGCTACTACCACTGCAGAAGCATGCAGATGATAAGCGAAGAAACGGGAAGAGAGAAATTGAGCAAGATAGGGTTTTGTATTTGAATGTTGAAAAACAGAGTCCATTTTATCTGCTGTTATTTTCTCTCCTCTCTGCTCTGCCCTGTATCACAGAACAAGAAAACTCTCTGTAATTAGAAACCAATATGCAAGTTGAAGCTTGAATGGAAGTAGCAGGGGATGCCATTGGTGAAGGAAGGCAAAGCTCTGTTCGAGGCCGAACTACAGCTCTTAACGATTCATTGTCATCTCTCTGTCGATAATTACTTAGCCTGTAAGGTCCAATGAATTTTCTCGGTTCGAAGGAAGTTTTGAGGGTTGATTGGCAATGGAGACGACTTTAGATAAAGGGGCTTTTTAAGAAGGAAGGAATGAGGTTCCAAATGCAGGGAATAGAAGAATTTGCATGTTGGCAAGTTGAATCGCCGGCGTTCTTTTTGAATGGATGCCACATTCTGGTCACCAATGTCAGAAAATTAGGATCAGAACCAGAGTTGGTGCCATATTACACTTTATTCCGATACTGCAATAATTCATGAAACCATTTTCCAACGATCCAAACAAAGTGGAGTGCTGTACCCACACTTCAAATTGATGTAATCTTGCTTTCTAGCTTCTCCTTTGTGAAAAAAGGACTCATTCTGATCCCGTGAGGAGAAAAAAAAATATCATTCCGGCGAAGAACCATGAAGCATGTGATGTTGCCAAAAGGGCAATCGGCAATCTACAACACTGAAGACTTCTAACCAAATACCTCTTTAACAAAGAGAATCGTCGAAAAAAAATTTAACCTGTGATTCCTTGAGAAGGAGGACAACAATTCTGCTACTTACCCAACGTAACAAACTTCGCTGATGGGATCAGCTATGAGTAATTCAGTATATGTACAGGATAATGTGTTCATGTAATACGCATCAGTTGGCTTCCAATCCGACGAAGTTGGTTGTCAGCAGGTAGTGAACACAAAGCTTGATTACGACTTGAAAAGTCTCTAATAACACACCTGCACAATACGTGAAGCCTCTGGCTGAAGGAGAAGCCGGAATTCGCTCTTCTATCCAATACGCGATACAGGGATCAGGATTCACGAACATTACACCATATATACTTGGGGGGTTTAACGAGCGTTGTGCTGTCTGATTCCAAGCTTCTGAGGTCACTGACAGAGTTGCACAGGAGGAAGTAAGAATGGATCAGTGAAACTCGTCAACCATAGAACGAACAATGTAGGGAGTAAAAGAAAGAATGTTGGAATCGTCGGTACAAGATATAGCAGATATATGAAGACCGTTTCCGATTATGAATGCTACCCTTCCAAAACAGATCGATGGATGCAATCTTATTCGCTGATGATTGACGTCTATGTTCTCTGCTTGTTTGTTTGTGCGTTTCCATATATACAGCATGAATGATGCAATGATATAGCAACTAACGAAGCACACACAGACACACTCTCCTTTCGAGTTGGCTCACTACGATGTAAACCAAGACATCACAAAAGGCACAAAGGAATCAGAGTTCCTTACCACAGGGTAGCAATTTTGCCGCACAACAGTCTGGTTGCTTGTACTCAGATAAACATCACAGGATACTTTCCCCTGCAACAGTGCCAACGAACTTATGTCATCCCAAAAGCTAAAAACCAGAAGAATCATCGCTGAACAAAACGAACAAACCCCGCCTTCGCACAGAGTTGAATGGAGAAACTGCAATAAGCTGCTAGCAACATTAAAGCAAGCATTCGACTAGTGTAGAATCTGTCAGAATTCAGCAACACTCCCAAGAGCCCTCTTGACAAGCCATAGCATGAATCCAAATTAAGCAACTCTTAGATAGATAGAACCTAGTCAAGAATCAATTCAATGGCAACATGGCATTCCACTCCATCAGAGACATCGCAGGCTGATCGCTCTTCCATCAAATAGCCCAATTCTCGATCAGTTCAATATGATCTACCCAAAACCCTAAATTCGCAGTCCTCTGAAATCCTTACCCAATGCAATCTCTACAACAAATTTTACAAAGCTCGCCGCTTCCCATCATTCGTGAAAAGTCGGGGGTGAAAGAGCGAGCTTACCTCGATGGGGATCTCGAAGAACAAGAGCCCAAGATCGCCGCTGATCGTGGTCGTCGTATCGAAAGGGACGACTCCCTTAGCCAAATCCTCGAGCAAGTAGAAGGCATCCAAGAAGAACTCGAGCCCGTTCAAATTAAGCGCGGCGTCAACGTACGACGAACCCCTGGCCTTCACGGTGCCACCGATCGACCTCACGACGCCGAGCTGCCGCCCTCTGTACCCGATCGAGACGGAGAGGTAATCGTAGTCGAGGGAGAAGAAATCTGGGTTCCGGACCTTGACGGTGAGGGACAAGGAGACGTCGAGCGTGAGCTTCGGCGAGGAGTGGACTTGGATGTGGTTGAGCCCGACCCGGACGACCGTGATTTCCGGGTCGGAAGGGTAGAGGAAGAAGAGGGCGGCGGAGAGGAGGAGGACGACGGCGGTGAAGGCGGAGCAGCGGCGGAGGAAGAGGAGGGTTGGGCTTGGTCGGTGAGGGCGGTAGTAAGGGAGGACGATCACGTTCTGAGGGTAGACGGCGGGGAGGGCGGTGTAGGGGACGGAGGATTCCGCCGGAGAGGCGGCGGCGGCGGTCTTCCACGGCATAGGCTATGTGTTTCCGTCGTCTCGGTTTCTTTTTGGGTCGGTCCTTCTGGAGCTTGATTACTTGACTAATTGTAGTTGAGGAATTGAGTGGTTTAAGAAGAAAACGATGACGTATTGGTTAAGGATTGCTTTAAGAAAAATCAAATACGCATTTGTTGGTTTCTGACTTTCTTCTACTACTGCGACGCGGCAAATGACAAGACTTGTGGATTGTAGGGTTTTCCAATTGATGTCTTTTGAGTTAATATTCGAAGTTTGAAAAAAATAATTTAAGGTATAAATTAAAACTTGCAAATTTAATGTTCCGGTATAAATTTAGTTTGTATTTATATTTTTTTTTACAATTTTATACAAACTGAATTTGTATTTTTATGTTATGGTACAGACTAAACTTGTATCACAAACATAAATGTAGAAATTTATTTGTGATACAAACTGAACTATACGTTTAACATTATGTTAAAAATTCATTTTGTATCTTAAAGTACCAATAGTTTAGAGCGTAGTAGAAGGGAACCATGAAGAGTTGTGTTGATGTCAATGTTCGATACTCTCCAAAATAGGTTTATACAAGAATTTTCTATGGTTAATCATAAGATGCATATTAGTTAGGACTTAGAAGGCGTATTATTAAAGTCGGACTGAGCCGGCCGGTTCGATCGATATAATCGATTACCGAACCCTAGTCTAGTCAATGTTATACTTGTGATCGCTTATTGAGAGCTAGTTTGATGAATTTGAGCAGTTAAACTACCAAACTGTTTAGACCACTTAGTCGGTTTGACGAGTTCAAGCCTGTCCCCAATATTTGTTAAAATTTTGGAGTGACAATTTGAACACACTAACATCTTCTTCAATTGTTTACCAACTGTACTACAAGCTTTATAGTGAAGATATTATGACCTCTTAATATATAAAACATTGAACTCTATACTAATTCTTTATCAAGAAATTAACATTTCCAAATACTTAGTAACAATTTTGTTGCCTTGCATTTTTCTTAACAATTTTAGTTCCTTTTGAAATTTCGAGATCGAATTATTATGGTTATTGTGTAATTATTGTATGGATAACTAATGTTTCCTTGATGTAAGGTATAGGTTTGTTGACGGTTTTATACTAAATAACCAGTGAAATGTGAACCACTCATTACAGCGGTTAATCCTCGGGTTCGGGTATGAAAACATTGCTTAGAAAGTTGATAGTGTCCTACAGTTGACAATATTTGCTTGCTGTGTTATTTAAGAATTTGTAGGGCAACATGATTGTTACGGGGTCGAATGTGATTCTATTGTAGATGCTTAGTATATGAAAAGAAAGCAAACACAATATACAAGGTTCTTGTACTCATTTTATAGACATTGTTCTATTTGAAATGACAATCATAACTATGAATTTCATTTAAAACTTTGAGTTCTCAAGTCTACTCAGAATATTGAGTTATTAGAAAGAGAATTTTTTTGTGCCAGTCTGTCCTGGAAAACATAAATTTTTTCCTAATTTAGCTAACAAATACACAAAAATATTTACAATCAGACGACGAAAAATATCTCGTATCTTTTGATTGGCATTACCATTTTTGTATTAGATATGGCCAAATTCCTTTTTTATAAATCTTATAAATAACAAATGTATAATCACACCAGACATCTCGAACATAAGACCATATTATATATTTAAGAATTTATATATACAATATAATATAGATATTCGAAAAAAATATATTATCCATAATATTAAGGTGATATATATTTTTTTATATTTGTCAAGTAAATCTATATCATAATTATTTTCTAATTTGGTAAAAAAGATAAGCAAGTACATGAATTATTCCCAATAATATTTTTCCATGTAGTGTGGGAAAAATTCAATAAGGCAATTACATTAATTTTCAATAAGAATGATCCCATTTAGAGTGAGAAAAAAAAAAGGCAATAACATTAATTTTTAATTATAAAAATTATTCCATTTAGTGATGGAAAACTCATTATCATACCCAATTTATATTATTATACTCAATTCACTACACTTCCCGTACAGTATAAATAAGTATCAAACATATCCGACGAAATCAACAATATCCTTTCTGTCTCCATATACCATCTAACCTTATATCCCCACCAATTTCCTTTTGCTTTCCAACTGTTTCAAATGGCAGACAATAGCAACAACATCGTTGCCAAGAAAACAAAAGGGAAGCAAAAAATCGAGATGAAAAAAATCGAAAAAGAATCCGACATGATAATCACCTTCTCCAAACGAAAGTCAGGAATTTTTAAGAAAGTACATGAACTTATCACATTAACTGGCAATAAGGTGGGATTTTTGGTCTTTTCTCCTGCAGGAAAACCCTTCAGTTTTGGTCATCCATCATTCAATGATATTGTACTCCGATACCTGGGCCAACAAACGGAACCCCAATTACAATCCTACAATGGAGAGATGTTTATGCAAGCTAGGATCCAGGAGCTGAACGAGACACATAACTCGCTACTCGACTTGATGGAAGAGCAAAACCAGAAAGATGCGACGTTCAGGCGAAATCTTGAGGGTAAGCCACTAAATAACTGGTGGAACAAAGGTGTGGAAGAGATACAGGTGGGCGAACTTTCAGATCTTGAATATGCCTACTCAGATCTGTTGGCGAGGGTGGAGAAGAGGAGAATGGAAATAGTGAACCTTGGAAATTATATGACTAGTCTTAATGTCAATATGAATGGTTGTTTCAATGCTTCCTCTGCTTTTGCTATGCACCCTTACCATCACATAGTGAACATGGGATCGATAGCAACGTCGCCTGTTCAGAGGGTGGATCAACGACTCAACATGATGCCAACGATGATGACAACAACGTCTAATTATTCGATAGTTGGTCAAATGGATGGTGGAATCAATAATGCACTAGATCATCCATCATCCTCATTCGAAGTTCTTCATTCCAATGTATTTGGCTATGGTCCCAAACCGCTTTAGAGATGTTTAGCATTTAGTTTTGTATGTTTTTTCTTTTGATTTTAGACAAAGAACAATAAAGAATTTACTATGGTTTATATTTTGTTAGAAAGAACACAACTCTTAATAAACTAGTCCTATTTGATCTTACGAACGCTACATCGAACTCTTGAGATCCACAAAAAATCGGACTTGAAACTCTTGCCTTGCCCAGCATCTTTTACGGACTTAGTTTTGAGGGAAGTGTTAAGCAAGTTGAATTAAATGTTCCATGGGTGATTAGTTTGTAGGCATCTCTTCTATAGAATGAAACTATGGATTCACAATTCTCCATCCACAAAATTTTAAATTCCCTGGTTTTCTCTGTGATGGTTGATTAGAGAGAGTAAGGGCGCAGGACAACGAAATAGGGAGAATTTTTTCAATCTGTTTTAAAAAGTAAATATTCATTAAGTTAAAATCTTCCAGTGCAAACAAAACAAACTGGTATAACTTAGCCATATTGACATCTATGTCCATATTATGTTGGCACCGTCACAATTCAAATCATGTTAAACTGATAAATTCAAATCTCAAGTCACAAATGTTTGAAATTTTTGCTGTAAGATCATTTCGAAAAACTCGTAACCGTACAATAAATGCCAGCATTGCAATGATGATAATTCGAACTTTTGGATAACTTACGAATTCATTAATTGAAATTACTAAATTATTTCATATTTATCCCTTATTTTTTTTTATTCTATTAACTCAATAAAAGATTAGTTCAATAATCCAAATTTGATCACCGGTCGTAACCTTCCCTAGCCTGTGTTAACATAATTCATTTTTTTTACCGATGTGGCTAACCAAAATGCTTAGTAAGCCAATTTTCACCCGAAAAATTCAACCCAACCCGCCACTTCAAATTCTCAACTCGACCCAACCAAACCAAACCGAAACCCACCACACCAGATTCCCCAACCCAATCACATCATCTCTTTTCCCCCTTACTAACCAAGTTTCCCCTTAAAAATCAGCAATTATAACCAACCATTACTACTAAATCAAAGTATCCAACATATCACATAGTAAACACTAAACTATCAATAATCTTTTTGCAAGTCCTCAAAAGGGTTACACTAAGCATAAAAACAAGATCAAGCGAAGCAATCAAGAACAGAGATTAAACAAATTCATTTTGGGATCAAAGTGCTCGAATTTACATTAATATATATATATATATATATTATTATACCATCATCACCGAACACATCTCAAACTTTACCCAAAACCAGAAAGAAAAGAAAAGAAAAGAAATTGAAGGATCAAGTGGATTCAACAGCTGCAGAAGAAGAAGGAGAAGATGAGTTATTATTATTATTATTATCAGAAGAACCATTAGCAGGCATGGAATAAGATCTCTTCATCATCTTGCTCCAGCCCGACGACGGTGCGCGGTGAAACCTGCACCTGAAGGATCCCTGGTGCGTCGTAGGGGAGCACAAGCACTGTCCTCCGCCGCCGCCGCCGGCCGCCGTCTTGCCGCAGTCGCTGCCGCCTTTGGGGGAGGCGGCGGCGGTGGAGACGGTGAGGCTGCCGTGGGAAGCCATATCTTAATGTTGGAGTGTGAAGAAAAACTTTGGGTGAAGAAGTGTGGAGACGAGCTGATTTATATAGAACGGTGGGAGAGAAGAAAGAAGGATATGTATGAAAAATTATATAATATCCTAGGAATAAAAAAAAAAAAAAGAGTATGAGGTTATTAAAATTGTATGTATAATAAAAAAAATTTGGTACAATAATTCCTAAATCACAAGAGTAGTGGGGTCATTTGTGTTTTGTCCCAAGTTTTTTTTTTTTTTTTGTAGTGTATCGACAAAAAAGTTTTGTCCCATTTCTGTGTGCAAATTTTCTTCTTTCATGTATGGATATTGATTGGAAACTAGTGGCCTCCAATGGTTAGTTAATTACAAAAACGCTAGCTAGTTAATCTAGATTCACAGCTAGATCTTTACTAATTAGATCTAGATGATTGCTTAGTTTTTTTTTTCTTCTCCTCCGATTTACTAGAGTAACTAGACTGCCTGTTTGTTCCAGTGACGATAATTCTGATTTGACTATATCGCAATTCGACTTGTCCCAACACATTTTGATGCGGGTATTATCTGCCTCGTTGTAAGATGGAAAGAGGGGGGGGCATGAATGTGAATTTTACACAGCCTCGCACCATCATTCTCAACCTGTTTTATTAGTTTTCTCATCTATAGACTCTTTGTTAAATCATTTGTTAAATCATATTTTCATCCCAATAAAATTTCGAATTGCAAGATTTCATCTTTCAAACTAATTATCATACTCAATGTCAATATACTATTTTTTGTTTCCTCTCTCTTTTATCAAGTGATTTTCTTTGTTTTCTCCTAAAGAACTCAAATCGTTACTTTTCTTTTCTCTAAATAATACGTGAGAATGAATTGACTTATCCCATATATACAAATACAAGTATTATCCGATATGATCACCGTTTAGCACAAGACATACATGAGCGGCGAGTTATCCACACCGTCTTGACCCAATGCCATTCCTATAATTTGTCCCTCAATTTTAGGTTCTCGTTCACATGAATGTTGGTTACTTAGGTTGAAGTTTTGACTAAAAACTAAAGTATCATACAAATGAACTGGCTGAAAGAAACATATGTGGTTAGGTTAAGCTCCAAAAACTAGTGGCCATAACAATCCGCCGGGATTTCTAACGAAGTTGTACCATATATATGTAGAATCGGGATCGGCCAAGAATCCCAATGAGTGTTATAGTTTGTCACTTTGCATGACAATCATAGTGTTATGAATGTATTACTCATTGGGCCAGAACGAACTCTCAAGGATATGCAACTAGTTTCATCGATCTTTTAGGTCATGGAAATGTCTCATTTTCTTTTGGTAAATTATATTATGGGATTACTTATACAGTTATATTTATCTAAGAAAACTACTTATCTTTCGAGATGTTATTAGATAGTGTCTTACTAATAACGTCTGATAGTTATTTTTTGCGGAGGTTCTCAACCGGTGATCAGGGATACTACATCAAGAAAGTGATCTTCACATTCTAAAGTCAGAGCCATTCAAAGGGAGGTTCATCATTCTCTCTTTTCATCCTTTGGGTCGGTTTTGTTTCTCGGAGCTTTCATAGAATTGCCCACTTAATACAAAACATACACTTTCATTAGGAGTCAGATTGCATATGAATATATATCGTTCTTTTTTACCATCAACGTTTTAGATTTGTTGTCCGAACATGCTTATCTTGCATTTTTTTTTTTTTACTTAAAAAAAGTGAATAGGATCTAGAGTGAAAGTGGAGAAGGTACATGAGAAAAGAGAATGAATGCACATGAACGCAGGTGGAAGTGGAACACACATCAGATCGTATAAGAGACATATACACAGAGATGGTGATGCAGATTCACATGGGAGCTAGGAATGTTACTTTGGAGGTTGTACACGTATTTCATTCTGTCCATAATACTTTCTTTTCCCCTCGAGCCTAAAACACTTAAACATGAACCATGAATATAATATGTCGAGATTGGATATCTAAAAACTAAACTCACATTGACACCAATTATTACTGCCACTCACATTGACAATTTGACACCAATAATTAGTTATTACTAATTTACTACCACCCCCTCTGAGTACTAGAATCGTGCCAAGTGTCAGCTGCTAGGGCTTGATCCAGATTCCTAGCCCACTACTGAAGAGAAATAAATAATTCGTTTTAAGCGAAGATTTAGCTGCGAGTTTTGCTATAACGAAACAAGTAACCGACGAAATAAGAATATATACAAACAGACACCAATTTACCTAAGGGTCGGTTGGATGTAAGTTTTGATATGGCGGAACGAGCAATCGAATAAGTATAAGTATATACAAGTACACTCCAATTTATGTAGGTGTCGTTTGGATGATGGAATTGGATGAACCAATTTAATTCAGTTGTCTAAAAAAATGAAGCAAATGAGTCAAATTGTATCGTTTAACAATACATAATAGGAATACAGTAATTGGATCGAGACCATTTGAATAGATTCGTTTTGCATGAGTTTAAATCGACCAGAGAAAAAAGGCAGATATTTCGGAACGATGTATTTTTCGGACAATTGGATCGAATTTTGCTCACTTCAAAAATTTGATATCCAAACAATCTCTTTAAGTAACTCACACAATAACAAAATATGTTACCTAATCCCAACATAAACCAATCCTTGTCAACTCAATATTCTTACAAGCCCTTTAGGAATGAGTGAAGTTGTGGGCAGGGTGTGGGTAAGGTGATGGGCAATTGATCATGTGAATAGAACTTTTATAGAAGGGTAGGGAATCAATCAAACTTCCCTCCACCATTGGAGCTCTCACTCAACTCAATCCACACAATGGACCGATTCCCAATAAGTTTCAGATTTTCATCCATTCCTCTCTCTCTCTCTCTCATTTTCCACACTACATGCCAATTTGCTCAACTTCTGTCACTATCCAAATTATGGTTTGTCTTTGTCATCTCTTTCAAATGTGAGTCACCACCTCCTCACAATTCCACCTATCTTAACCCCTTTTCTCTCACCAATTACCACCTTCTAATTACCCTTCAATTATTGGTGCTTCTCACTAAACTCTAGGCACATTTGGATGGCTTAACATTACTCTTGAGAGGGTGGGATTGGGATGTGGCCTAGGTTTTTTTATGGAATGGTTGAAATGTGTCATATTCATTTGGAATTGATGGTTGATGACAAGATCATGGGAGAGGAGGTATGAATTGACAATCTTTGTCATTGTGACATATTTTTACCTTCAAAAGTGTGTACTTGTTACAAGATTCATTGTACTAGCCCAACACATTAGCAATCATCTTTGTAGTACTATTTCGACATTACATCATTCGAACTTGTATGCGGTAAAAGATGTTCGTGACTGATGTAATTTATAACAATATCTTGTTTAGGTGGAGGTAGGTTTCAAAGGCATCCCTTATTGCAAATGAGTTAGTGAACAACATCTACAGAGGTAGATGAACAAGGGTTGATGTTCAAATTTGTTATCTTGATCTTTGACAATATGAACTTCAAAACTTAGGATGTTTGTTCAAGTTATTGAATATGATGAACTTTCTTTAGAGGTGGTGTTTTCCAATTTTTTATAACATAAAAGTGCAAGTTTTTTACACCATTCGACCAGCTCTAGATTCATTGTCATTCATTTATAATTTGAAAGAATCGTACGGATGGGAAACGATGCGGTTTGATCTAGACGGTTTATGGTCGAGCTGAGAAGGTGGAGCATAGACTAGGGACCATACCAAATACTACGCGATCCAGATCAGACCACGTTTGTGCTGTCTGAACCATGCAGACCACATCGATCTTAAAATGAACAGTTTGTTTAGTCACACGGAAAATGAAACCATTATTACTGGGGAGCATCAAGAAGAACGTTTCAGCTGGTTGGTGGGCTATCGCCTATCAGATCCAATCCAAATAACACACAGGCCCCAGCCCTCAGGAAAAGGGTTGGCTTCTGATCCTATCAGATTGGTCTTGTGTCTCAGTGAAAATAGAAAACAAAACTGGGCCCTGGCCCATTTCTTTCTAGAACGCGGATTGAAATGCAGTAGGATAATTATAAGTTTCCTAATCCGGATAGTATTCCGTTAGACGTAATACTGGCCCATGGCCCATTTGTACACAAAACAATTTCTGTAATGAAAATTGTGTCAGAAAAATGAAAAATGAGCCAAGTATTCGACCAAAAAAAAAAAAAAAAAAAATTTGAGCCAAGTAATTGAATTCAGAAATTGGATCATTTTGATGCAACTGAAAATGGATGCTCAATCCTAATCATTCTCAAATATATAGAAATTTCAACAAAAGTAAGATGATCTATATTCAAAAGCCCAAACTACTATGCTCCTCCAAAAACATCGATGCTTTCAAGCACAACAGATTTGGAGAGCTTCGGGAATAACTAATGAATTACAACTTTATTGTACCGTAATTGGTGCATTGGTATTTGCAGCCTTAATGCGTTTTGCTGGTTGAACTTGTACTATAGCGTTAAATATACAAGTTCAATTTGAACCATAACGTTAAAAATACAAGTTCAGTTTGTATCGTCAATTTTTTTTATAGAAAACACAAATACTGTGAAGGATTTACCTAATTTTAAATCTCGCCCTCCAAATTACACCGTGACAAACAACTTTCTAGTTTGCACAATCCTAGTATTCTACTCTATCCATCCACACATTACTAAACATAATGCTTCAAACCCAAAATTTCCAAATTCCAACTATATTGAGTAACAATTATGACCGGCTTTTCCATTTGCAACTTCGCTTGAGCCATCATGAAGCCACTTCCGCAACAACCAGTCCAACCTTAGCCATGGATATGAAATGGAAACTGAACTTACCGGTCCAAATCCTCCTGCCTCCGCTATATTTTACTTCCTAGTATTCCACCTAATCAATCCACACAGTGACCCTTTTGGGATTCCTGACTGGTTTCCTCTGCAACTTGGGCTGGCTTTAAGATCCCATCACCATTCAGCAATTATGGCGATGAGAGGCAACAAGATCATACAGGCCAAGATGGTGGGTATGTCTTACCGTTTCATGCATCATCACTTTCTTCCAACGTTTCATTACACTGCCCGCAAGATGTTTGTTAAATTGTCTCAGAGAACCTTGCATAGCTGAAATCACTCTGTTTTCGTGCAGGTGCTTTTGGGGGACATGGGGACTGGGAAGACAAGCCTGGTGCTGAGATTTGTGAAGGGTCAGTTCCATGATTACCAGGTGATGATTCGGTACTGTTTTCGTAGTCGAATTCCTGACTGCAAATCATCTCTCCAGTCTTTAGACAGTTGTAGTGAGTTGATTTTTTGGGGTTTGTGTGATTAGGAATCGACAATAGGGGCAGCATTTTTCACACAGGTGCTGTCAGTGAACGAAGCGACCATCAAGTTCGACATATGGGACACTGCTGGGCAAGAAAGGTACCATAGCTTGGCTCCCATGTACTACCGTGGAGCTGCAGCAGCTGTTGTAGTTTATGACATCACGAGCATGGTATGTTGTTACATTACATATGGTGTTCGATTTCCTCAACTCAAGGTGAATGTATGAAGCTTTGATCTCTGCATCGCAGGATTCGTTTGTTCGAGCTAAGAACTGGGTTCTGGAATTGCAGCGGCAAGGTACTAGAACATGATGCTACTGTTGTTGTTGGTGGTGGTGTCTTGTTTATCTCACAAAAACATAAGCTTTTTGGCCATTTTCTTGCTTTTCAAGAAACGAAACCTTTAAGTTCAGCTTTTTCAGGGTCTTTTGCTATCTCCAAAAGAAACCTTTTTCTGGTACCCTTTTTCAGTAGTAAGTTCGAGGTGAGTGTTGTTAATTTATTATCTGGGTTAAGGTATACCTGTGAATGTTAATGGTGCAGAGAAGCCAAATTTGATAGTGTTCTTGGTTGGCAACAAGGCTGATTTGGAAGGGAAGAGGCAAGTTGGAAGCCAGGTACTGTAATTTTTGTTAATACCTTAATATTACCAAAATTTATGTCTCTTTGCAGCTTCCATTGATATGTTAGCCGTAGAAGTTGAACCCAGGCACATAAACCAGTGTGAAATGATTTGTTCTGGAAATTGTTTACAGGAAGGGGAGGATTATGCTCAAGAAAATGGACTGGCCTTCCTTGAAACCTCCGCCAAAACGGCTCAGAACGTAAACGAACTCTTCTACGATATAGGTAAAAATGGAATCAATTCGTCTATTGTTCTCTAATATGAATTTTGGATGACAATAACCCGTAAATCATCCAAACGATACCAAGTTACCAACTCTTATCTTATAAAAAAAAAATTCCTTCTTCTTTCCCTTTAAATCGAATTAAGTTATAAAAATGATTTTACATTGATTCTGATACTATAAAAACAATTTGGTCGTCTTTTCTTTTTTAATTTTATTATAGCTCTGATAGACGCATGTGAATTTGTCGCAGCAAATCAACTGGCAAAAATTGTGCCTTCACGTCCAGGTGGAATGACGTTGAGCAATAGAAGAGGATCGGAAACAGGCGGGAGGGTATTCTTTTGTTGCTCCTCCTGATCACAGGAGGTGGAAACCTTCAATCAACACTAAATGATCAAATGTGCAATCTCAGGGGCGGAGCCAGGATTTCGAGACCGGGGGGCCGAAAATAATTAAAAAAATTATGTAACCAATGTGGATCGAACCCATGTGCTATAATACACAAGTTAAGCTTGGCTACCATTAGACCACATAACTATTTGATCATATAATTTACAGAACATGTTCTACTTCTAAAATTTGTACGAAATATCTTTAAAAACCTAGGGGCCGGGATCAATCCCGGGGGGGCCGGGGCCCACCCTAGCTACAATGTAGCTCCGCCCCTGTGCAATCTTGTTTTGGCGCTGCATTGTTCAATATTGTTTTATATGTAAAATACTAAAATGTATTGTGTAAAAAAAAATACAATATTATATAATTATCGGGATCAAGTCCGTTAATATGTTCGTTGTAAATTAACATCGTTGAAGTACTGCAATTGTTTGATTGAGTAAACGATATCCAAATTTACCCCCTTGATTTTGGGGAGTCAAACCTCAATTAGCATCCCTTCACTCGAAAACCCAATTTGAAAAGGGAAAACAACCATCCAATCCCCCTCATTAACAACCTTGCCCAATTCTGCCCCTTTGATTTACGAGATTACCCTAAATTAGGGACTTAGCATGATCGTGAGATGATTGACGAAATTATTGGTGGTCGGATTATCATTTCTAAACTAGGCTTCTATTTTAATTTCCGCACTCGAATGCAGTGCAAATACCATGGTTGTGTTACCGTATTGTATCAGTGATCGGATTATCTATTCGCAATTCATTAACTGGTTCCGATCGGTATCATATCAGCAAAATATATTATCTTTTTTTAGTATTATTTTAACAACAATATCATACGTATGTGCTATGAATAAATCATACATGATACATATACCACCAAATAGTATTGCACTAAATTGTTCGATATAATTTCAAATACAATTTTATGTGTATCCGCTATCCAACCATAAGAAATATCAGGGGTTAAAGACACATTTGGTCACTGAGATTACAAAATCGGGACATGTTTAGTCACTAGAAAAAGTTAATATCAAATTTGGTCATTACAATTACTAAAACTGAACGCATTTAGTCACTCGCCGTTAGTCTCCGTCCAACTCCGTTAATGAAGTCCGTTAAGTGCTGACGTGGCAAACAGAATTGCCTAATCAGCCGGATATAACCCAACAAAAATAAAACCCGACCCGCCACGTCATTATAACCCACCACCTCATTAAAACCAACCCAACCCAACTCAACCCATGACCCAACCCATGGTGGTTTTTGTCTGGGATGGAGAAAACCTAAATTGGGTTGGGAAGGAAGGAGGAAGAAGCAGAAGAAGAAAGAAAAAAGCTCTCTACAAAAATGGATTCCTAGCAACCAAGCTAGCTCATCTCAGCAGCCATTTCCTTCCTTCATTTCCCCTCTCTTTCTCAAACCCTCCCGTTTCGTCAAATCTCTTGCTTCCTCGGCGGCGGCGCGGTAGCTGGAACTCCCCCCGGAGGCAGTATTAGCGAGTAGAACTCATGGCCGGGACGAATCAGGAATCGTTCATCTACAGCTTCGTGGCGCGAGGCACGGTGGTGCTGGCAGAGTACACCGAGTTCACCGGCAACTTCCCGGCGATCGCTGCTCAGTGCCTACAGAGATTGCCTTCTTCTAACGACAAGTTCACCTACAATTGCGACCACCACACCTTCAATTTCCTCGTCGAGGAGGGCTACCAACCCTACCCAACCCTTCTTCCTCCTTCCTCCCCAACCCAATTTAGGGTTTTCCCCATCACAGACAAAAACCACCATGGGTTGGGTCATGGGCTGGGTTGGGTTGGTTTTAATGAGGTGGCGGGTTATAATGACGTGGCGGGTCGGGTTTTATTTTTGTTGGGTTATATCCGGCTGATTAGGCAATTCTGTTTGCCACATCAGCACTTAACGGACTTCATTAACGGAGTTGGACGGAGACTAACGGCGAGTGACTAAATGCGTCCAATTTTAATAATTGTAGTGACCAAATTTGATATTAACTTTTTCTATTGACTAAACATGTCCCGATTTTGTAATCTCAGTGACCAAATGTGTCTTTAACCCGAAATATCAGAGATGGCAGTGCATTGTGGCGTTTATCATAGACAAGGATAGTAACTAAACACTGCAATGGGAAGACTGTACTTTATTTTTATTTGTACTTTTTTTTTGGTCATAAATAAATGGAAACAGAGCAGGAGCAAGGTCAATTAAAAAAGGATAATGGAGGCATCCAAGGAAAACTGAAGCTTCTCTTAAGCCCAACTGAATTGTGGTGTGTGGAGTCCAGGGTTCTCACTTACAGCTCTGACTGGTCATAAATTACCTCAAAACTGGACAAATACCACGGCAAGTGTATGTGAAAACGTATTCATAGCGTCATACATTCGTTAAATCGACACCGGTTTTTATAGAGCTTCTCATTGAGTCACAAACTAGCACTCATAACTCTTATTCGTGTTAAATTTCGAGTTATTCGATCGTGCCCTCCAAGTTATCTCGAGTGAAAACGGTCGTGGAAGAATCCGGTCAACCCATCATAACCGGTCAAATAATCAAATGTTTACAAAAACCCATAAGAAAACAGAGCTATTTTAAAGATTAAAAGACAAAGAAACAGAGGGAGCTACAAATATTAAAAATGCAATTAGAAGTTACCCATACCCCTATTCTTCGTTTATGTTTTGCTTATATCCACACCACAACTACCGAGATCAAGAAAGAAAGAAAGAAAAACGAAGAAAGGGGAAAAGCTAAAACTGACTACGAATCACCACGACGGAGAAGTTGAAGGAGTGCATACAGAGGACGAAGAAGAAAGCAGCCCGTTGTTACTATTGGAATCAGTACTCCCGGAAATAGTAGCTTCCGCCGGGAGCAGCGGAGGAGTACTGCTGCTGCCCGCCGGAGGGCTGGCCTTGGTGGTTATCTCCTCGTCGCCATCGCTCTCCAGCCGCGAAGGCGACGAGTCCGGGGTTTCGAACGGGGTGTCACTGCCGCTGCTGTAATCGGCGCCGTCGTTGCTGTTAGTCTTGGCGACGGCGAGGGGAGGGCGGTTGTCGTAGATGGGATTGGAGATGTAAACGAAATGCTCGGCGGCGTTGTTAGGGGATTCCTTGTGAACGACGGCGGCGGCGGGGATTTCTGGAGGGGAAGGGGTGCGGAGGAGGCCGATGTGCTGCGGGCTGGCGTTGGACGAGCCGTCGTAGAGCTCGAGGACGTGGTGGAGCTGGTGGTGGCGAGACTCGTCGTCGTCGTTGCGGCGGCTGTTGATCGGCCTCTTGGCTTCTTTGGCTGCGGGGATGGGGAAGAGGAAGCTTCTCGGAGGCTGGAGGACACCCACCGCCGGGAGGTTGGAAGGAGGGGAGGTGGAGATGGTGGTGGTATCAGGGGAGGAAACCGCCGGCTGATGGCGGTGCCGGCGGCGGCGGAGAATGAGGTTGCAGTAGAGCTCAGCTAGGAGCATCAGAACTAGGGTGAGCACGAAGCCTAGGCCGATGACCATCGCCACCGTGGCTCCCATTATCACCTTGGAAGCTCCCTTCATCTCTCTCTAGCTACTTCGGGAGGAGAGATGGGAAGGAGGGAAGAAAGTGGGCAGTAAAAAAAAGGGAAGACAGAGGGTACAGTTGGGTAAAGAAATGGAAGGAGGGAAAAGGGAAGGCAGGCAGGTTTTGGCGGGAAAGAACAGTCATTTTACCTTTGACGAAGAGAAAGTAAATGTGGGAGATTGTAAAAAAAACATCAGGAGGGAATCTTCTCAAAGCATGGGGAATGTAAAGGCGGTAAAAAAAAAAAAAATGTAAAACAGCATTTGCCTGCCATTCTGCACTCTTCTTCGGCAGTCTAGTTAATTAACAAGAAAAATGGGGCAAAAAAAAAAACTGAAACGAAACAGGAAAAGCGAATTATTTGCACTCATTGTTTTCTTTTTTTACTGTGTATCATCAAACCATCAATCAGAAGCAACTCCTCTAATGGAGGACGTGACATTCCCGCCTGGTCCTCCTAGGCCTCTCACACAGGAGCAAAAGGAACGCAGAACCCTATTACAAAATGATAGGGAAGGAGATTGAATGGGAAGTACAAATCTACGAAGCCAAATGAAGTAATGGAAACATCGTAATAATGGTGATGGTGGTGCAGCTGTCGTCGTCCTTCCTGGCTATGGTGGTGGTGGTGGGTGTGAGTGCTGTACTTAAACGACAGGAGACCAAATGGTGGTGGTGGTGGGGATTGGGGAAGAGAGTAAAAAATTGCAGCAGCGAGACAGGGGCCAAAATCAATGCTTAAGAGAAGTAAAAAAATTTGTGAGGAATTTCACAGTTTTACTTTTACCTCCCTTTCAGAGCTGCGAACCGGGCGGTCAAGTCGTCGTAGTCCGGTAACTTGGGATGCACGTGTCGAGCGGCGGCTGACCGGTCTGGCTCGAGGGTAGCGGCACGAGCGAACACTTTGTTCCCCTGAGGTGGTGCTGCCGTTGATGGTTGCTCGCTGGGGAGAGAGAATGATCTTGATGGATGGGAAGATGCTTCAGTGCTCGGATCACGGGAATGATGACGACTGGAACTCCTTGACGACTTCCTTCGAACCTGGGAAGGTTCGGGATCAAATGCGGTAGGTTTCTTGCTGTAGTGTATCAGCAGCTTGTCGATGATCCTTTCCTCGTCGTCGTTCTGATGCACCTCGTCGTCGAACAGGATCTGCAGGCCTCGCCTCGAGTCGTCCTTTCGGTTCCTGCTTCTCGATTTCCTCTTCGCCACTCCCGCGCTTTCCATGCCACCGGCGGCATCCTCGTGGCTAGTTTGTGGCTTCTGGTGTCGTCTCCGTGAAGAGGGCCGTGGTTTCGGTATGGGGTTGACTACCGTCTCGCCTTGATAGTACACCTTGGTGTCGAAGACATGTTCATCGGCACCCTTAGCTGGTCGTGGATCGTTGTTCTCGGAGCGATAGCCATGATTGATCCTTTCTTGTGCCCTGGATGTATCGACTGCACCGGTGTCTAAAACCGTAGTTGGAGATGCTGATGCATTGATTGCAGACTTGGTATCTTTCGGCTTGGTATTGGGTCGAGTGTAAGGAGGCGGGATGGCGTTGTTGTAGAAAGATTTGAACTTCTGTGCTTCATCTTCCAGTGCATCTCTAGTAATTTTTGCTGCAGAGTGTTGACCAGGAGATGCAATAATAGTCAATGGATCTTTGCTGTTGACCTTTGCCCACATTCCGGCATAGCTAGGAGAAGGTTCTGGCTTTCCATGAGTTGTGGTATCGATGCCATTTGATTTGGGAGGAGGGTTGCTCAGTCTGTCATCAATGCTTGCCTGCTGTGTCCTCCGAGAGGAACTGCCCAAACCCACCGTTCTCGGAGGAGTAGCCTGCTTAGGAATTTCATGCTTCTTTACCACAGGGATTTCTGGCCTTACTGGAGGAGACGAGTCATATTTCGTCTTCCTCAAAGTAGGTTCTTTTTCTCCTCCGTTTTGCATTTTGTCGACCATGCTGGGAACTTCAGTCCTTTGATGAGGAGGATTCGGGTTGTCTCTTTTCCAGTCGGGTTTCTCTTCTTTGATTAACCGAAATCCACGGTTATCATTCTGTTCTTGCCTTGCTTTGGATTGGGCATCACGTTTAACACCTTGGTTGATGTTGTCCTTGCCATTAGTTAGGTCCGATTTACCGCTCCCAGCAAGTGAAGGACTTCTAAGTTGAGCCTGCAAAACATATTGACATAGAGGAGCATTCATAAAGAGAATAGAGTTAGCAATTTCGAAAACGTTCTCACAGGCAGAGAGAGAGAGGCCATAATAGAAACTAAGTAGAGGGTGAAACCTTCACAGGAGAAGGTCTAGATATCCTCTGTTCAAAACCTGTGGAGTCCCATCTGATGGAGAACTCTGATGCAACATCTCGCAGCAGTTGAACTTTCTTCTCCGTCGTTACAGGTTTTGCAGACATATTGTCAACAAACTATATCAACCACAAGTGTCGACATGTCAGTTCTCAGGAGCTGACAAATTGCAAGCATTATTCCACAAATGCCAACGATCTGTTTCGAGTATTACCCCTTGATTCACATACAATTCCAATGAATCGCCATATCTCTCCAGAAAAAGCTGCCTAAGGTCTCGCAACTCTGGCAGATCTGAGAATCTTGCGGCTGCAAACATCAAGGAAGACACAGCTTCCCTGCAGTCCTCTGCACAATGTCTGCCATGAGCCACAAATGAAACACAAAACCTAACATTAGCAAGTGACAACAACTAAAACTCCACCTCTCAAATGAAACACGAGTCGCCATTAGTAACACAATACACATGTAAGAGTTCCTTCACCATACACCTAATGAACAGAATGGTTGCGATCCTCATGCACTCGGCAAAAATACAAACACAGCATCGACATGCACGATCATAATTGAGTTTAGAAATGATACACTTCCAATCCTTGTGAACTTGTACTGATGGCAAATGCAGCAGTGTCGAACTTGAACCAGAATCTCATTACCTCATCTTTTGCAAGACGGAGAGATGCTTCACCACAAGATCGCAACAGCGCTCAACAAAATCATAGCAAGAAGATAAGACCAATTCTCCAACAAGTCCTTCAGCCTGTTCCAATTTTACACCATCACGAACAAAGACAATAAGACATCATCAAGGCAGTGAGCCACAAAGAACAAGCAAAATCGCCATAGCACTAAAAATAGAAGCACAGAGACAAGAAGACGATTCAACATCAGTAATGTTAAAAATAGAAATTTAGAGAGAAATAGCAAAAGGACAAGCCGAGCAATTAGACAATTAAAATTCCTCTCAGCAAAATTTGTTCCACGAGGAACAGACAAAACTCTGAGCTCGACACTGCCGTTAATTTAACTTATCGTCGCCGACGTATTAGTAAAATTGAGTAATTCACTGGACGGAGACTGGCAGCCGGAGGTCACATCGAAACGTTTTCCGCTAGCTACCGTCGATGACAAAAGGAATTTCAAACTCAAAAAGTTTTCTGTTCATCGCCGTCGGCAGAGTAAGAAACTCGCAGGAGCTAGAGCTAAAGCAGGGGGAGAAATCGAGCTGAGCAAGCAATCAGATCAATCGACGCGCAACAACAAGAATAAGGAGACAAATACTGAGAAGATGATTATCGACGGGGAAGGAACCAACCCTGCCGTAAGCGTTGATGTCGAGTCCATTGGCGAGCAGATCAGCCACGTCCTTTTTTAGAAACTTGAGAGTCGCGCTCCTCTTCCTTCGAATCACATCGATCCGGATCTTGGTCTGTTTTATCAGCGATTTGCTGCAAAAAATAGAGAGAAGGCAAACAATCCGGCGAATCAGAAATCAAAGCCGGGGGGATCTTTACATCCAACCGACACTGAAGAAAAAAGAACGGCATACCATTTCGCAGCAAAGCCTCGACCTAGCAGTCCGTCCAGCATTCTTCCCCGATTTCGCTTCCTTCTATACTCTTACTTCTTTTCGCTGAACTCCAGCTGGAGACTCCGGCTTTGGTTTCGCTTCCAGAAACCCAAGGCTACGGAGAGAGAGAGAGAGATAGAGGAGGAGGTCTAATCCGCCATTAATGAAGCTGTTAGTGCTCGCGAGAGGAGCAGTAATGAGCAGGGGCTTAAACGGGAGGAAGGAGGAGAAGAGAAGAGAAAGCTCGGAAAAGGGAAACGGGGAAAAGAATTCGATTAACAAATGGGGAAAAAGGAGAAAGAGAAACCAAAGAGCTTCTCTTTTCTTCTCTCTCTTTCTTTCTCTCCGTCTGTCGCTATCTGGTGGCAAGTATACGTTTCTTAGGCACTTTTTTTTTTCAAATCAGGGGAGACTCGGACTACTCGGCTCGTGTCGCTGGTGAGTCAAGCGGCTGACTCAGTGTCTCTCCAACCGAGTTCACTCCCCCCCCCCCCCCCCCATTTCACGCTGGGACCTGGGTTTTTTTGCGAAATGACGGGAATGGGCTTGTGGTGGGGAAGCTGCGGAAGAAGACAAGAGGGGCAAATTGGGGAATGGAGGGACTAATCCTGTGGAGGAACAAACGGCGGGGGAATTGGTGGGCACGTTTAATCGTGGCCGCCAGGACAAAGTTGGGTTAGTTTATTGTTTAAAGTGGCAGTCGACGGTGGGAGATTAATGTAATGATATGGGAAGGGAATCTAGGGTGCTGATGTGGACCGCAGGTGGATTAGCGGAAAATTGAGCTAATCCTTTCTGTTTAACCCCAACCCAAGCATTGTAAATTATCGTAAAAGTTTTTTTAAAAAAGGGATTTTATTGCACTTCAAAAGATCAGTTACAAAGAGGGAGAACGAACCAACAATCTGGTTCCAATAAGAGGAAGCTCAAAGGCATTCGGTTCCAAACAAAGCTGTGTAAGACAAAATGCAGCAACAGAGAACAAAACACAGTCTGCAGAGCAACCATTCGGAAAGAGCAAAACCCTTGACCGAAAACAAATCATCAAGAAACTCTCTTGTAAACAACCAATCAAAGTGCAACAAAACCAAAATCAGCTTGTCCGATCATATCGAAATCCATGGTAGTTGAACATCATCACTCCATGTGCCGCCTCTTGGGGAAAACTCAAAGGCATCCATCACAGTGAATCTAGAAACTAGACTGCATGGCGGTGGAAGAGGATATAACCAGATTGCTCCAAGCTGAAGAGGCAGAGGATGCCGAGACAGAGAGATCAGGTTCGAATAAAAGCAGAAGCTCCCAAAGTAGCCACAAACTACCATAAAAGTTAGTGATATAGTATTTTATGTTAAATGTAGATAGAAAAGAATCGGCAATACAATTAAATTTAACAAACATTGATAAACCCCATCGAAGAAATGCTAAAGATATTTAAGATGAATTCATAGGACGAATTGAGGTCGTGGCAATCAAATCACATGGGGGAAAATCAAAGTTTTGTGTTGATCAACCAGAGGGCATTTGTAATTAAAATGATTTGTGAATATAGCAACCGGAATTAACTTGGTACACAAGTAGAAATGCGCGGTTTGGAATTACTATATCTGGGAATCCAAATTAGCAGCAAATAATCACACACAGTTTTGTTCTGACACATAAGATCTCTTCTTTCTTTCATCCCTGCCTGCCCTGCTGCGTCTTTCTTCTGATTTAGTCCCCTCGTAAATTCTGTTTCCACTGAACAACTGGATTAGATGGGCAGTCCACGTCAAATTGGCGAGATGGGAGCCGAAAGGTAGCTTCATCGCACATGATAATGTCGGGATTAAAAGGCCCAAATTGACCAATCAGGCAATTAACACTAATAATAAAAGATAGAAGTGTAATAATTGAAGGCTTAATAATGCCGAATTCAAAGCTAAAATGGAACTCATCCAAATCAAATCATTGCCAAGGTTATGGAGACGTTCTGCAATTACGTTCTGATTACAACGGTAAGTAAAAGAAGAAGGAGAAACAAACAGGAACAACTACTTCACCACAGAGGTGTAAAAAATGTTCAATGAAGAAGGTTATTTCTGCTTCAAGAAGGGCAACACTGCAATAGTTTCATACAAGAACCGAGACTGTAGGGCGAGAGCTAAAATGTTCCATTAAGAGGGCACAAAATCTGAACGTGAGAATAGAAGGTGTAGCTAATAAGGCATGCAGTAACCAAAACAGCTTCCCGTCAAAATACTTCCTTCTCACAGATCCAAAAACAGAATTGCGCTCGGCGTTCTATTTTGCTCGAGTAGCTGGCCTTTATTTCTATCTACTTAAATGTCGGGTTTCTCGGGCTCTTCCTCCTTATCAGGATTTTCATCACCTTCCTCTTCCTCCTCTTTCTTCTTGTCTCCGTCTTCCTCTTCCTCCTCCTCCGGGGGAGGATCGTATGGCAGTGGTGGCGGGATCGGTGTTTTCATTGGGCTGAACTGGGGGAATATGTCCGGTCTTCGTCCAGGCTTCGGCCTTTCCCATTCCTGCAACGCCAAGTTCAGAATTGTAATACAAGAAAGACGCGAGAACACATTACCAGGAGGCTAGTCAATCACATAGGTTAAGAAAGCTGTACACTTGAGCTTCGCTATGAGATGGATGTTATCAAACATAAACAAGACATTAAATGATATAACCCATTCATCCACATTCGTCAGCAGTGTTTTGAGTTTTGAGTCACCTGTCAAGATCTGAGCATTCCGGATTTTTCGTAATTGTTTCATAGGACAGATCCTAAATCTATATCTGTTCAACTCGGGCAACCAACGCTTAAAGTTGTCATTGTAAGATGCAAACCTTACTTTCCAGTGGAGGCAAGATTAGTAACTCATCATTCTCCTAAAAGTTGTCATTGTAAGATGACAACCATACTATAAGTGGAGGCAAGAACAGTAACACATCATTCTCCTAAGAACAGGGCGTTGATTCATTTTCAAAAGAAAAACAGCAAGGATCCAATTGTTCAGAAGAAATATGGCATATGCTCCCCCATAATTATGAAAAATTATTCCAGTAGGAATGACATTTGATTGCATTCTCTTAAGCTAGACAGATACCAAGCCTGCGCCTACTATCAGAACAAAACTGCTAAGGCAGGAATCTAATGGCAAAAGCCAATGACTGCAGCCCAGAATTGATCAAGGTCAAGCAAAGTCTTCAATCGTATCAGATCCAGACGTAAAATATGAATTGGTACAACAAACTCAAGCAGCCTGAAAGGAACTTGTGGTTGAACAACCTTACTGCCCTTGCTATTAATCGTCCCCGAAAATTGATGAGTTGAGATGGCCATATTTCCTCCCTACCTAAGAAATCCAAATCTAAAGGACAAAGCACTCCATCCAAATTCGACAAGAAAATGGCTTGAGTTTGCCAACTCTTCTAGTAGCTTCAACTTCATTCATTGATGAATACTTCCCAAACGCAACATCATCATCTAAATTCATTTTCCATACTCCAAACCTTAATTAGCTAACATTGCCAGGAAGGAAGAACTGAAGTTGAACAAAGTCACCCGAACACACGCAAACAAATCCCAAATCACGAAAACAGCAGCAGTAAATCATAATATGAACTCGATATTGCAAGTTCCAATCGAAATGTGAGTTGCTTCGAACTAAAGACTCTGAACAAAGGGAAGGGAGACTAGACTTACGATTGGGAAATCGAGAGGATTTCGACGAGTCAACTTCTCTTCGTCGGGAGCCATACGAACAACCTGTAACCTTCCCCTATCACCCGCGGGAGAAAGGAGGCCGCCGGAGCCATTCGCAGGCCGGAAAGAGAGATACCACTCGTCGCAACCTTTCCCCGCCGTGGACGAGAAGCCCCGCGCCGCCGCGGAACAAGGTGGAACTGCTAGCGGTCTGGAAGTAGAACACGCGGAGAGGCAAATAGACGACATCGCCGCCTCCGTTTCACCTGCCAGCTATCGATACGGCCAAGCTGCTGGCTTTTCCCCTTCTATCCCGAGTTCTTCGAATCCCTAGATTTCGGAAGAGTCGCCGGCGAGAGGAGCCAGACAAGGCAAAAAAACCAGCAGCCTTCCTCTCCGGCCTTCAACAACCGCAATTTATTCTCCGAGGCGCAAAATTATATCCGCTCCACCGCCTCCTTCGCACGTTTATTGTTTCCTATCAGACTACAAATATTTATGGGCTTGTAACATTATGGGCCTCATTTTCGGCCCATTTGACTTCTGTTGTCCTCCCGGTTCGAGCTGATTCAATAATCCAAAAGGCCCAGTTAACTTCTGTTGAGGAAGCTGATTCAATAATCCAAAAGGCCCACTTAACTTCTGTTGAGGAAAGATAGGGCAAAAAAACATATTTGTTGACAGTGGGATTTGAACCCACGCCCTTTCGGACCAGAACCTTAATCTGGCGCCTTAGACCAACTCGGCCATATCAACATTTGATGATATATTTTCTACAACCTTTTTTATATAAAGTGTGTTAGCTTTAGCAGTCTCTCCCATCTTCCATTTACCCTAACAGAACGTTGGTACCAAATGAATCGGGAATTCATTTCATTGTAAAATGAATTACCGTGTAGAATTCATTGTCAAATGAAATCCTATGTTTGGTATGTTATATTCAAATCATTGAAGTGTCGTGTAGAATTCATTGTCAAGTGAATTTTTGTGTTTGGTATGTTATATGTATAAGTAATTTAGTTAATAAAAGAGGATACTCATGTCATTCTATTATAATTAGTAAATACTTGTGGGATTCATTTGGAAATTCTATCTCAAATCCTAGGAATTGCTATAACTAGTTCCAATTCCGTAGAATTCCAAATTTAGAATTGAAAATGAAATCTTTTTAACACCAAACACAAAAATATTTCATTTCAAAATGAATTCCTTAAAACTTGTGGAATTCATTTATACCAAACGGTATGTAATGTACTTATTTAGAGGGTATGTTAGTTAGTTAGTTGAATTTGAAAACTGAATGATTGGTTGGTGATGGATTTGAGTTATTGTAGATTTCAAAAAAAGATTGATATAAGAATATTGAATTCTATTTGGATTGTGCTTGTAAAAAGTTATGGGCTTAAAATCAATACATTTCATTATTACCTTTCAGAAATTAACTTTCATGTATTTCTTATTTTAGCAACTCGTTCGGACTTCTCCATCACAAAATCATGTTGGTAGATGATTCGGACTCGTAACCTCTTAATATGGTCAATGACAATCAATGAATTCTCCTCGTAATAGTATGATTTGAAAATCGGGCTAAAAAAATACACATTGTCTATCTCTTTACCTTACAACTAGCAGAGGGCCCGGCCTCTTGGCCGGAAGACCTTTATATACTTGTATATATAATTATGCTTGACTTTAACGAACATATTACATATGTGATTGGTAAGATGACCATCAATAACTTATATAAGTACTCAAAATATTTAATTGGTAATATTTATAGAATGTTATTATTGAAAACATGTCGAACAACATATATACGTACCTAATATATTGATGCATTTTAATTTAACTATCTTCGTAAAGAAGGTCTTTAATCTATGCAAAATGTTTAGAAATAATAGCATGATTGTTTCTTCCCATGACATATGCATAATCATTGTGTTGACCCATCACAAATCATTAGTAAGTAACTATATCAATGTCGAACTTGATAACATCAAATCTCTATGGAGACATCACCATTAAATGAAAACCTTTATTATGTACCTTTAAAATTTCTCTCAAATCTATATAATTATGCTCGAATATTTATGAAAACTATGACAATGTCCAAATTGACCTTCATAACCTAGTACTCTCTCGTCTTCATCTTTCCCTCTCACCCCAAAATTTTCAAAGTTCCCAACACTGAAAATTCTTTTGGTCCTCATATCTAACCCTAACAATTCATATCAACGGTAAAATTAACCATCCTTTTCCAATCAACTTCTTTTAGCCGATCCCAAGTATATAATTTGGATGATTCACATAACTGTAAATAATAAGATTTTTTATAGGCATATTAAATTGCCTAATATATTGATGCATTTTAATTTAACTATCTTCGTAAAGAAGGTCTTTAATCTATGCAAAATGTTTAGAAATAATAGCATGATTGTTTCTTCCCATGACATATGCATAATCATTGTGTTGACCCATCACAAATCATTAGTAAGTAACTATATCAATGTCGAACTTGATAACATCAAATCTCTATGGAGACATCACCATTAAATGAAAACCTTTATTATGTACCTTTAAAATTTCTCTCAAATCTATATAATTATGCTCGAATATTTATGAAAACTATGACAATGTCCAAATTGACCTTCATAACCTAGTACTCTCTCGTCTTCATCTTTCCCTCTCACCCCAAAATTTTCAAAGTTCCCAACACTGAAAATTCTTTTGGTCCTCATATCTAACCCTAACAATTCATATCAACGGTAAAATTAACCATCCTTTTCCAATCAACTTCTTTTAGCCGATCCCAAGTATATAATTTGGATGATTCACATAACTGTAAATAATAAGATTTTTTATAGGCATATTAAATTGCCATATTTCGACTGCTCATTCAGATGTACAATGTCATCGAGATCTATTACCATCTTCAATAGACAATGTTGATGAGTAATAGAAAAATACAATGTAATTAGTAATAGAGAATTTATTTGTATTTCCATCTTTACTCTCTAGATCTCAATTACCTAGACGCCATTGTTTGTCTTTTCATCTGTAACAGAGAATTTGTTTGTCATTCCATCTTTACTCTCCGTCATACGGATGCACATTGTTTATTGTTTTATTACTTATCAACGATGTCTGAGATTGTTGGCTTTAGAAGTTTATACTTTTCGTGAGATGAGTTCGACGGGTAAAGAGGAGTCTGATCTGGGAGAAGAAGCTTGATGTCAACCTTCTTAGTGATAATGGAGTAAAGAGAAATTGAGAAAGGGGCATGGATTTAGGCTGTCGATAGGAAGACTGGTTGAAGAAGGAGGTTGAATTTGTGAGAAATTTTAGGGACAGGGTAGGGATGGGTAGTGAGTTGGCCTAGAGTTACACCCACATGAATTAACCTGGTTATAACCCACTCAATACATGTTTGGGTGCGTGTGTGTCATTTTCTTTGTGGCCCATAAAATTTGGATGGTGACGGATGGGTCATTAGCCTGTCAAAGCACTTGATATATCATGTTACTAATATATATTATATGATAATGTACATATATTCTAATCCCAAAATATTAATCATGATTGAATTGATAATTAGTTATTATAAATTTGCTTAACTTATTACATAAATTATAAACTAATTATTTAAAAAAATACAATACATAGTCTTAAAGATTATTGATTTTCTTGCACCAAAAAATGATTAATGATTTTCTCGAATTTTTAATTTTTTATATTCGATAAGCTTATTATAAATTTTTATGGCTCATAGTTATCTTTTTTATAAATATTTTCTAACCAATCAAATCGTCAAACCCACCAACCATCCAACATTAACAATATGAACCACTCACTTAACTACAAATGAATAGGTTGAGTGATGTTTTCATCACACACCAAAAGAATGAGTTAATGGATTTTGGGGAAAACCCCTCATCAGAAGTACACAACCATGGCTCATAGATATGGTAATGGGTCATCTGATCCAATTGTCAAGATCCATATGAGTATTGGTGTCGAATCCAAATGGATCTATATGCACTTTTAATGGGTTTTGGTTGGGTTTGAATTGTGTTCTATTTGGCTCAATCCATTTGGGTTAAATCCAAATGGATCTACCTAAGTCTAGATGATTGTATAAAAAATTATATCTATCGTTTCATTAACTACTTTCAACCCAATTATATACCTTTAATGTAGGTGTTTCTACGGTTCTATTTGTCTCATAACAAAAAAAATTGTATTATAATCATGTATCCATTTTCTTTTGAACTTCCAATATTAATGATAATTTGGACCAAAACTACAGAATTGAATATTAATATACTCCAAAAATAGAATTACTCAAACATGATTTAGACTCTAATGAATTGAGTTTGAGTGACAACAGAATATTAAGTAGTTTTTGTAATAATAATTGATTTTTTTTTGTGGAAGTCATAATAATTGATTACGGATGGGGTATTGGAGACTAAATGCCAAAAAAACCTACAATTTAAAGATTGGCAAAACAAATCGTTTGGGTTAGTGAGTGACACAAAAAAAAAAAGAAACAAACGGAAAAGCAAAAACAATAACAAAAGGTCAAAAACAATAAAATAGAACGCAACGTTTTGGGCTAAAACTGATAAGGGTGTTTTGACAAAACTGTCCCTCCGAAAATTAATCCCGTGGCTCCATTTTTGAAATGCAGCAAAAGCCACCCATGAAAACGTATTATATATAGTGTAGATTTGAGGGACACCATTGAATTTATTTGCCGGACAATTCGTATATGTTTGAAACTTTGAACTCCATATTCAAATCAACATTTTGTTGTCACCATCTAAATGGACTTTTCCCCACCAGACACTCATCACGAAATGCCGACTAATTCAAACTCAGCTTTCCCTCCACCATCTGTACTTAAGATTGTAGTAATCCTGCGCTTTTCACAATCTTGATTCCCTACAAATTGTCCAATCGCTCGTTCCCAGCGAGTTTCGAGTCCGACCACCCAACAAAATTGCCCAAAATGTGATCGCATTAATCGTCACGTCAAAATCACGCACATCCCATGAATCTGTGTAATATATATATGATCTACGACCAACCAACTTCTTCCCCTTATCTAACTGCTGGCTTAGTTACAAAATCAATAAGCAGGCTGACTCATTAGCTCGTCGTGACACGATAAGTCCATAGATCAAATACTGTTGAGCCGGTTTTGGAAAATATACTGTTTAGGGATTGAGTCGGATGGGATGCTAACCGAAATTTAGTGGTCGATGATTCAACGATTAATCAATTATAGAATCGTTGGTGAACTGTTTGAGGAACAGTTCATGCGCTATAACATAAAATTCATATCATCTATCACCAAAAGGTCCTTAAAAAGTATTCATTTTTTTATATAATATTTTAGTTAATAATTAGGATGATAATACGTAGTAGACTACATAAAGCTAACAAGGAAGGCCGAGAAACGAAGAAAAGAAAGCATAAATAAAATTGGTGATTGAGTTTGGATGATCTTTTAGTTTGCATTGAAGTAATATTCTCTTAAAATTTGTATGGTTAAAATTATGAACCAGTGGACCAGTCAAACTGGGATGGTTCATCTGGTTTCATGTCAAACCTTTAAAAATCAATGAGTCCACCCCTAACCGTCCAATCAAATGAACCAAACAACGTAAATGGATTAATGATTCTACTGGTCCAACCGCTAGTCCGTTTCGGTCCTTAATACTGATGGAGAAGGGGAAGAACTTGGATGCCATTTGGAGAATCAAAAGCTCCGCAAATCACTGAATCCGGAGTGGCCACCTAACTCGAAACAGACGTGACCACCTGCAAAACCCCACAATCTCGATTTTCGCCCCAAATTTACAAATACAAACCAACGGTCTGACCCGATGGGCCCTACCCGCTTCCCCCATTGACCTCTTCCAATCCAAACCACTCAAGTACTCAACCCAACCATCCGCGCGCGTGATGGGTCTCACTCAACTACCCCATTGCGCGTGGTGGTCCACTTCTCTCCACTCTCCTTTTCCTTCCCATCCTTTTTTGTCTGCTGACCCGGATCCGGTCAAAAAAAGAATTGCCCGCAAGAATCCGGCCCAGGCCCACCAAACACAACGCCCGCCGCTCACTCCTTCAGCTTCTTCCCTTCTCATACAAAACCCAGCAAAAATCCAAGTCGGGTCCCGCCCCGGAGCCCACCCGCCATTCTCCCCAAGTTCCCGCTGATCCCACGCGCCGGGTGACGCACAATCGCGGGTGCTTTTGGTTTTCGTTTTCCCATTTCTTTTTTTCAAGAAAAAGGAAAGTTTCAAATTTCATCATTTCGTTCCCCTTCCCCTCCTCCTTCTTCTTCCGCGGCTCTCCCGGTTTTTTAATGCGAAAGAGACAGAAGAAAAAAAAATCATCCATTCCATCGTCGATTTCCATCTCTCCTAAGCTCCTGCTTTCTACTTCTTCTTCTTCTTCTCGATTTTCACGGTGAGCGGGGCGGCGGAGCTTGGTTGGAGCTGAGCCGAGCGGCAGTTGTTTCTTTTTCTTGGCTCGTTCACTGGAAAGAAGGAACAAGATGAGTTTGGTGGGGAGACAGATGTCGCGATCTCACTCCACGGCGCACCACCACCGCCAGTACTCCGATAACTTCCTCGACGCCAGCAAATGGCTCCAATCGTCTTCTCAGGTAACCAGCCGGCTGAGCGCGCGTCTATTCTGCCGGCGAGTTTGTTTTTTTTTTTTTTATATGTTTTCTCTTTTGTTAACTTCGGCTGAATGGTGTTGTAGGACTTCGGGTACGGGTCAAAGATGAATCGGAGCATGCAGTCAAACCCGTCGACTCCGCCGGTCTGCTCGCGGTCGTCGAGCCTCCGACACGCTGGGGACGGCCAAGTGTCGCCGGGCCTGCTTGATCTCCACTCCTTCGACACCGAGCTTCTCCCCGAGGTTTGGTTATGGTGTTCTTTTTGTTTGTTTGTTTGTTGTAGTTGAGCTGCATTCCGGTTTTGATTGGAGTAGTAGCCGCCATTTCTAGGAGCTGAATTGGATCAGGGTTTTTTGAAATTTGAAGAAACGAAACAAATTGTGTATTTGAGAATGAGAACGGATGACGATTTTTAGGATTTGCGGTCTTATATGTTGGCGAATTGTTGGTCTGTAGATGCAAGTTGGGAGCCGCTATGAAGGATACTCGTTTGATCAAAGAAGCTCTCGTGGTAGGAGTTTTGATGACTCCGAGCCAAATCTCTTGGCCGGCAAAGTTGGAAGCAGATCGGCTAAAGGGCTGCCTGAGAATAGCCTTCTCAAGAGCTTCTCTGCTTCAGTGGATAAGGAGAGAGCCAACAATGTTGCCAAGATCAAAGTCGTGGTAGGTTTGTTTTGAGGACATTCTACTAGTTGTCTGTGTTGAGGAATCTCCCTATGGCGGAGTAGTTCTCGTTGTGATGGATCTTACTGATTGCAGGTGCGAAAGAGGCCATTGAATAGGAAAGAGAAGACGAAGAAAGAAGACGATATCATTGCCATTGAACCGAATTCGAATGCTCTCACTGTTCACGAGACCAAGCTCAAGGTTTGTGCTTGGTGTTGGTGCTATTGACCTTATTCTGGACTATGTTACTGGGTGTGGAGAAGAAACATGAACCCTATGACTGAACCTGCAGGTGGACTTGACCGAGTATATGGAGAAACACGAATTTGTTTTCGATGCTGTGCTGGATGAAGGTGTTTCAAATGATGAAGTAAGAATGTTGCAATGGTTATCGTGGGTGCCTACATTGTTAGATAATTTGACTGATGTTGGAGCATTTTGTCTGTAGGTTTATGCAGAGACGGTTCAACCAATCGTGCCTTTGATTTTCCAACGAACAAAAGCAACTTGCTTCGCATATGGGCAAACTGGCAAGTTACTTTGACTGTCTTTTGCTGCTCGTTTCATGGGGGAACATTGTATTACCCATGTCTTTATATCATGTTTAGTGTTTTGGTTTTACATTTGCATATGTAGTAGTCCACTTTCCATTGATTAATAATGAACTTGCCTCATATTCATTTATTTTTCCAGGAAGCGGCAAGACCTATACCATGCAACCACTTCCAATCAAGGCCTCACAAGATATATTGAGGCTAATGATTCACACTTACAGGAATCAAGGTTTTCAATTGTTTGTCAGCTTCTTCGAAATATATGGGGGAAAGCTTTTCGATCTACTCAACGATAGGAAGTAAGTGTTATCATGTTTGTTGAGGCAAACTAGAAGAACTTTCACATTTTGCAGTCTGTTGTCTGATGCTCAGTAACGTTGCAGAAAGCTTTGCATGAGGGAGGATGGGAAACAACAGGTGTGCATCGTGGGTCTGCAGGAATACAGAGTATTTGATGTGGAGACAATCAGGGAGCTCATTGAAAGAGGAAATGCCACAAGAAGCACAGGTACAACTGGTGCAAACGAGGAGTCTTCTAGATCACATGCTATACTTCAGCTTGTGATCAAGAGATCAGCTGATGGATCCGAATCAAAACCTGCCCGGGTTGTAGGAAAGCTGTCTTTCATTGATCTTGCTGGAAGTGAGCGTGGTGCCGATACCACTGATAATGATAAACAGACAAGGATGGAAGGAGCTGAAATCAACAAGAGCTTGCTGGCTCTGAAAGAATGCATAAGAGCTCTCGACAGCGACCAGGGTCATATTCCATTTAGAGGGAGTAAACTGACTGAAGTACTACGCGATTCATTCGTTGGCAACTCACGTACTGTGATGATATCTTGTATCTCGCCTAGCTCAGGCTCTTGTGAGCATACTCTCAACACTCTGAGATATGCTGATAGGTACATGGACTGTGCATAATGAAGTAGATAGTTACAAAATAAAATAAATGAAACTATCTTTGTCCTATCTCGCTTGCAGCTTGAATTGACACTGCCATTCTTTCCACAGGGTGAAAAGTCTATCAAAAGGAGGCTCCAAGAGGGATCTTCTGTCCTCTTCAACTCCAAACCTCAGGGACTCGACTGCTTTGCTGCAGATGTCTGATGATAGCATAACCGAATTCCCCAGTGATAAGAACAGGTTTGGTTGGTCAAAGTCAGTCGATAGGGAATCATCTCCACCTCATAATCTGGAACGTGTGCCTAGTGGAAGATCACAGAGCTACCAAGTTTCTGCATCTGATGATAGATGGAGAAATGATGCTCCAACGAAACGGCCTGAGATCATGACGCCTCAACCCAACAATTTTCATCCAGACGAGGACTTGAATGCTTTGTTGATGGTAAATTTTATCCTCTAATCGGATTGTCTAATGTTCAACATCTTTTTAGGCTATACATTAAATGCTGCTCTACTCTTTGGTATAGGAAGAGGAAGATCTTATAGCTGCACACCGGCAACAAGTGGAGGAGACAATCAGCACAGTCAGGGAGGTAAGTCAGTTAGCTAGCTGCTGCAGTGCAACTTCCAATCGCTTCCTATTTCCGCGTATTCGAGATTGTATCATTTTGATGCATTTAAGATTAGTTATGCAATTCCAAATACACTCCAATGCATTAATAATCTCGACGTATTTGTTCAATAGCATGTTGCTCAGATCACTCTTCCAAATATACTCAACCTGATGACATACTGATACAACCATCACTATGTAACCTCAGGAGATGGACTTGCTAGCTGCAGCTGACGAGCCAGGCAACCAGCTGCACGATTACGTCGCCAAGCTGAATACAATTCTCTCGCAGAAGGCTGCGGGAATTGTACAGCTGCAGACCCGGCTTGCTCAATTTCAACGCCATTTGAGTGAGCATAATGTCATAGTATCTTCATCTGGTAACTGAATTTTTTCATATTTGTTGCCAAACATGGTGACTTCACCTAGTTACCAAATGGAAGGGTATGCTTGATGGAGTGGAGTGACACGTTTGTATTTATCTATTCCTTTTCTTTACACTTCGATCACTGTTTGTTTGTTTGTTTGTTTGTTTGTTTGCAAAATCGGCCATTGATTGATGATGGCATATACATCTGAGTTGCAGATCATATCAGTAATCAGATGTTATTTGTAGAAAGGAATGTGTTTGGCAGCAGAGGACATAATTGAGTTACAACTTTTGGCGTCATTCAATATTCATTCTGGTTCTTTGATTTTTTTTGGCTGCTTGTAATTAGTAGACTGACTTGAGAGTTGAGATAATTTTGCTCCACAGTAGTACTTCTCTTGGGCAATTTAGGATTCTTAAATATCTTATTCTTGGGCTCTTGTCTAAAAATATTGTTCTTCGTGGGCCACGAGTTGGGCCATTTGGTAGGATTGTGCTCTTCTTGAACTTGGGCCCTTCTTGCTCTATGAAGCCTCTTATAGGCTACATGTGTGCGTGGAATTTTAACCGTTCGAGTATGTGACTCTTTCATCCCAATTTCGAGTTCTTACGAAAACTGAATGAAGTTAGTTAACGGGGTCAAAACTTTCACCAAAAAATTCAGTATGTCAACTTTCCCTGAACTTGTAGATAGTCATTTGCTTTGTTGCTGTCTACAAGGAAGCTCAACTCTTATTTTGCAATCAATCAATAAATAACAAGCATGCATATTGTGTAAATGTGATATTTGTGGATAGTTTGCACATTTCACAACACCATAGTATTTGGAATGTGCTATTTTATCAAATATGTTGTTTGTGTAATGTTAGGCCCTGTTCACTTCCATTTTCGTTTCCTGTTTTCTGTTTTCATGTTACAAATTTGGGAAACGAAACGAGAAAACATGTTTACTTTTCATTCTGTTTTCTATTCGTTTCCAACTCTGAAAACAGAAAGTGGCAAATTCCTACTGTTTTCGAAAACGAAAAAATGTCGTTTTCACCTGTTTTCAACATCTGTTTTCTCAAAAACAGGAAACAGAAATGAAAGTAAACAGGGCCTTAGAAAGTGTGGCATTATGGTTGTGGTATTTTCACTCCAAATTAGTTAAATGCTCATTTATCATTCTCTTATTAAAGAAAGTAAACAAACATTCTTCTTATCTAACCCTGCGAAAATATAATTACGAGTTGATGTATAATTCGGTGAGAGAGTCATATTCAATTTACCAAAAAAAAATCTCAATTTCACCGATATCAAATCGCGAAGATCTCTGTCATGTCGGGTTGCCACTCGATCCTCCTTATACGTGTCGCATAGGTAGAACGTTTGTTGTTGTTGTTGTTGAGGTACTTAATATATAGATGGTACATAATGCCAATTTGCAAATCTTCCTTGTTTGATTGGAGGTGGTGGGTAAACAACTTTTATTCTCATTGGCTTGCCAATTTTGGTCTATTTTCCTCTTCGTTGAAGCTTAATTGTTTAATCGCAATTAGTTGTGTTTGGCTTACCTTTATTTAGTGGGCAATTTATTTAGCATTATTGGTCGACCCTACTACTAATTGGGGAAACAATGAAGATTTATTGGCTATTATAGGGAAGAAAATTAGGACAACCGTCCATATCCTCTCTAATTCTTTAGTATACTTAATTCGACCAATAGATTTCTTTCTTCTGTCTCAAGATAGCTTGATTCCAAATAATCTTATAATCTTATTACCAAAAAAAAAAAGTTACAAAAAAAACTACACATGCAAAAGTTATTTTATTACGATGACTTATAAGTTATTATGATTCGAAAAAATGGTCTACCACTTTCACTAAGTGGTCAACCATTTAATTAGGGACGTACAATATTAATAGCTATGTTTGTTGATAAAAAAATTGAAGTTAATACAAAGGTTGAAGTATAGATGAGAAGTTTCTCTGGTCATTGTTCTTCCGTAGGTTTGAAAAATGCAATGCATATTCATTTCTTAGATTTGACTTCCATCTTTCCTTCTAATTCTAAGTTCGCTTGTTTCTTCTCCTTTAGTTGTCTTATGACGGAGCAACTTTGTTGTTATTGTCGTTAAGAAGATATTTAAAAAGTAGGTATAATTGTTATTTATTGTGTCATCTCCAACGTCAATAAATCTTCTATCATCTTGCTTTTGTGGCCCTTTATTCCAGAAACAGTGCTAACAGATGGTGTTATTCATTTTTATCTAGGCTTATAATCTTTGTAATGATTTGGTTGCCCACGGGTCATAGAATGTTGCATTACTACAAAACAATTTCGTATTTTAGGCTTTCTAACGTAAGTAGAAGATAATTTTGTCATTTGTCACTCATTTGCTAGAAGCATACCGTTCAGCGAAAGCGATAGATCGTTTGCAGATCGTTCCAAAAAGAAAGTGTAAGTTGGAAGTAAGTGTGTCATCAGGTCGACTTTTTGTGGGAACTGGGAAGCAGTCGACCTCTTGCTCAGAGTGGTAGATTAGTTGTCTGAAGTGCTCGATCGCTTTTTGAAAGTGGTAGACCTTTAACTGAGACAAACGTTTGAGCATTTTCTCCAAGTCACCATAGGTATAGCCAAAAGTTATTATTCTTTATTCAAGTGGTGGGTTTAGGTACAAATTATTTGTGTGCATACCTGTAAAGCACAACTCTGGTTTTCTATGTAGGATTCTGAAAGTTTATCGTAGGTCACACTGGTGAATGTTAGGTTAATGATTTAAGATACTGTTGAAAACAACAATATGGGAATGCAAGAATTGGAACGAGGTAATTTGAATTCTCTCGTTTTGCATTAATTTGACATGACAAAGGCAAATATTGTGAGCTGGAACGTTTTTTGTGAGATGAAATAATTGTAAGCCAACCGTGTCAAATTATCTCATCTCGTGAATTTACCATCCAAACAACTCTTGTAATAAGATGTTAAAGATATTCCAATTCAATGACTAATACTTTATTAAATTGGTACAATTTGTCAATACGATATGGTTCTATATACATCACCTAAACTATTGTCCATTCGTTTATCTATTGAGAATCACTATATAAAATTGACCCGATTTTCTAACATGTAGCCGTTGTACCGGTGCTAGCTAGGTGGCCATTTGTGAAGGGGAATTACTAGTTAGTATATTTATGTATTCGTATATATGATGTATTTGAATTAAATTTCAGAGAAAATGTGTACGTATTTGTCTACATATACACGTTTGTTCTGTATACATAACAAATACAAAACAAAAACTATTATGCATTTACTTATTTAATGGAAATTCAGAATATAAAATTGATCCCATTTTCTAACACGTAGCCGTTGTACCAGTACAAGGCTACAAGCTAAGCTAGCTAGGCTGGTTGGATATTCTTCAAGGGGAAATTAAGTATATTCGTATATATGTAGTATTTATTTTTATTGAATTTAAGAGAAAATGTGTACGTATTTGTTTACTTCAAATTTTGATATTTTTTATAAAATTGTAAAAATAGATAATATTTCCTCCCCAAATGAACACATAACAACTATGTTTAATTGACAAGTCACATTAACAAACAAACAAACACTCTAGTTTTCTCATCCAGTAACCTAATGAAAGAGAAGGATATTGTTTGAGCTCATTCGGCAGACGGTCGGCTGAACCCAAAGACATTTGAGTGGTCGGACATTCTTTTATCGCCAAATGCTTCGGGTTCCTTGAGTTAGGGCATGTCATATCATTAATGCTACGATTAGACATCCGACACTACCTGTCACGGTTTATGTACTTTTCGTCAAAAGTGCGCCCGACACTATAACTTTTGTTCCCATGAATCCTCTCATGGTGATGTAAGTTTCGTATAAGCATCCAAGTTCTTAAACCATGTCACAATCCATGAAAACACCGTCTCCAGGTCCGGATACACTCGGCATAATCTCTAAAACTCGACACATATGAAAGCTCATACACCTTTCAGCTCGTTCCTTCATCAAATTGGAATGATAACAACAAGTAGTCATATCGTTACAGATGATCTCTCTCTCTACATTTTCACTCCGTATTTGCTTACAGCGTACTTCAAATTATATATATGTTGTGTAGTTTGTCAGGAATCTAGATTACGAGATCAATGCCCCCACCTCTCGGGTTGGGAATGAGCCAAACTGCTCATGAGCGGCTGGACGTCCGGTTCGGCAAAAAACTCGTACGTGCTACATACGACTCGTTAGTAAACAATCCAATTTTGAGCTAACCCTTGTTTGGCTCGCGTAAGGCCGGTGATCATCTAGCTCGCCTCCATGGCTTATTGAACTCGACTCTTAAGCTGCTAGCTCGTCTTGAGCTATGCACTGGCTCGACATGAGTATGCATGGCTAACAATTATTAAAGCAACCCCAACTAACAACATATGAACGAATCCATTAATAACTTATCATTAGTTCTCTGGTAACTGACATATTATTTTACATATCATCGAACACGAATTATGTCCCATTTGTAGCTCTACCCCCACCTCCTCCTTAGATCTCATTCACACCAACTAGATCGAGAAAACAAAACCTAGCTTGGAACTCCACACAATATGTTCTCCACCCAAACCAAAGTTAATTACTTGATCAAAACACTTACACGTATAAAGCCATGGTGTATCGTGATAAGTTTAAGAGTTCATTACAATTACTTTAATCAAACAAAATTCAACCACCACATACTTACATCTCACGAGAAGTTCCCCATGAGACACTCAACCCTCATCCCCTTCTCTTCTTAATTAATTAAGTACCCAAAAAATAATAATTAAGGGCCTCAAATTTTGTATTAGCAGAACATAACGCACCGAATGACGAATGTGTGAGCTTGGGAGAGACGATGAGAAGAAGAGAGAGGACAAAAGAATATAATCTATGGGGTTTGGGTTTGCTTAATTGCACCCTGTGGTCCAAACATATCGACGGTTAAGGAGCAGCCAATTAGAAGTTAAAGCAGTTATTTAACAACGATAATGATGTCGCTAATAATGTTTGTTTAAGGAACACAGTGTACGTGGCTGCTGGCGACTCGAACGTAGGATTGGCCCTGCCTTCTATAGTGATGGGATCGAGCCATAGAGCCATTGAAGATGGAAGGTTGAGTCCATCAATAACAAACGGACATGTAGATGGTTGGAGCTGCTGCGTCTATCTAAGGTTGAGATGAGAATTTTTCATGATCGCGAGTACAATGGTACAATGGAAACAAGAGTTGTGTATAGTCGGTAATAATGAAGCAGCAGTATCACACGTAGATACAAGGATGATAGGATAAAGGCGAGCAGGTAACTGAATAGGAGGAAAACCGTCATGGAACCCGTCCGTGTGATCACAGATAACCACAAGAGCAATCCCGCATATCGACGACGGAGATAAACGGGTTGATGGTAACCACCAGAAATCATGGCGATGTAACCATCGGTGTAAAACAAGCCTTTCGCACGTAAATGGCACAATGCCAAAACTCCACGACAGTAGGAGTGAACATCTAAGCAATTCCCCGAAGAGATCGTGAAAGAGAGATTTTTGAGAGAGTGCATTATTATCGAGTCATAGAGGACTCGATTCGAAAGTATGACCCATGACAACTATGTTTGACAAGTCACATTATCTCAAACAAATTAAATACTCCAGTTTTCTCCTCCAATAACCCAATTAAAGAGAAGGATATAAACCAGAAATACCCTTGCGATAAATTTGATCTTACTTCTTAAACCATGTCACAATTCACCAAACACTTGTCTCCAGAGGTCTGTATCCACTCAACACAATCTCTAAAACTCGACATATATGAAAGCTCCTACACCTTTCGAAAGAGCTCTTCTCTCCTTCATTCAACTGGAATGGTCAAATAATAGTCATATCGGTTTACAAATTATATCTCTCTACGTTTTCCCTCCGTACTTGCCTCCGCAACATACTTCAATTTTTTTGCGAATTCGGCTGTAAGAAATCTAGCTCGAGAGACCTCCCCCAACTTTCCATAGATCTCATTCACATCAACTAGATCGAATAAACAACACCTACTTTGGAGCTCCACACATTAATTATGTTCTTCATCCATACTAAAGTTAATTACTTTATCGAAACACATCTAGTCCTTGGTGTAATTAACGTGATAAGTTCAAACACCACCACAATTACTTTAATCTAAGGAAATTCAACAACCACATACTTACAAGTAATTACATCTCACAAGAAGTTCATCATGCCACGAGACACTCATCCCCCCATTCCCTACTCTTCTTAATTACCTATAAACTAATAATTAAGCCCCCCTAATTTTGTATTAGCAGAACCAAACGCACCGAGTGACGAATTAAAATGGGGTTGGGTTTGCTTGCACCCTGTGGTCCAAACATCGACGGTTTTAAGGAGCGGCCAATCAGAAGCCAAATTAAAGCAGTAGTTTAAAAACAACAAATAATGATGTCGCTAATAATGTTTGTTTAAGGAACACGGTGTACGTGGCGGAGCAGGCAGGAGACACGTACTATGGATTGGCTGGCTCCCCTGCTCTGCCTCCTATATATGATGCGCCAGCCAAGAGGCCACGTTAAATCATTTTTAAATTACGAAAGTAAAGGCCCAAATGATAATATATATATGGTTTGATAGGTGGAAAATAACATATAATAAAAATATTAATAATGAAAGAAAAAAGTAAGCTCGTCCGTCGACATTCGACCGAATCTAACTCACTTTATTTACATATTTGTGTCCTTGATTGGGGTTGTTTATTTTTATTCATGTTTATTATTATTATTTTACGTTGAATTATTAATTAATAACAATTATTATTATTGTGTTATTACTTTGTTTACTTTAGCTAAGATATTGTAATGCGAGAACTCGTTATTAGGATAAAAGGAAGCTAGCAAGTTTCACCAAAGGAGGATTTGATCGAAGAACATGAATAAAATTGAGATCTGACACCTTGAGACATGAATGATGAGGTTGTATTTTGTTGTAATATATAACTAGAATGTATTGTATATAAATGAAGATAACTTAATTTATTATTTAATTATGGGTAGGTGATAGAAATATGAACTAATATTGACGAGATTTAGAGTTTAAACTCTCACTGACATCTAACTGCATATCAATATGTACACATGTTTTTCTCGAATCGAGGTGGATCTCTGGGAATGCGTTAGCATGGTTACTAGTTTTTTAGTAGCCATGGTGGCTACCTATATCTCCACCATTTATTCTCATCATTTTTTAATTGACCGTCAGGATTAATTAGGGATAGTTTTGGAACAAAAATAATAACCACACCGAATTACTACTTTTCAAATATAAATTTCCATATAATCACCCAAAACCCTAAATACTTTTTCCCGTGCTCTCTCACTTTCTCCCTCCTTCACCGCCGCTCTCACCTCTTTCTCCGGCCACGGGCGAGCCACCAGCACCGACGCGCTCACCCGCTGATTGCCGTCATCTCCTCTTTCTCCGGCCACTTTATGGATACAGCCACGAACCGAACCTTGGCTTCCCACGATGCCTTGCGGTTCGCTGCAGCCTTCCACTAGTTCCTTCCTATCCTTCCATTTGGCCGAATAGCAATTAAGCAAGGTGAATTGCTTACCAACATCGAGCTGTGATCCACCATACCTTCCCTCGGTTCCGCTGGTAGTGAATGATGATGCGGGCTTACATTGAGTTGTCGTATTTTTTGTTAAAATGGTAGTGATTTTTTTTAAATGGTAGTGATTTTTTTAAATGGTAGTGATTTTTTTCCGTAGTCGTAGTGTTTTTGTAGTATTGGTATTGTTTTTGCCGCATTGGTATTATTTTTGTCGCTTTGGCATTGATTTTGTTACATCGGTAGTGATTAAATCTGCAATGGTATTTGTGTTTTGTGAAATGGTAGTGTTTTTATTTCTCGAATGGTATTGATGTTTTGTACAATAGAAGTATTTTTTAATGGATTGGTATTGATTATTATTTTGTTGTTGCAGCGGTATAGTTTGGCTGAACGTAATCAAGGAAAGATTGAGAAAAAGAAGGAAGAGAGATCTGGCTCAAAAATTGTGGAAGTGAGAGAAAGAGAGAGAAAAAATTGTATTTAATATATTTATGTAATTTCCTAAAATGTAATTTATTAAAAAAGATCATTAATAAATTTTTTGTTATACCCAATTTGCCCTTAGTAATCACGGTGATTACTATAAAATAGTATTCACCGTAACCTGTCCCGGATCTCTGGGCCCACCTTGTTGTGTATTGGCTCTGCCTCTGCCTCTGCCTCAAATCGTACTATAGTATTCACTATCTTTTTTTGTTTATGAAATGTCTGAAATATAGATATACTACTCCTTTACCCCCGCAAGTTGTACCAGATAAGTTAATGATATTACATTTTGTGATTGGCCCTTTCGTACCAGTAAAATTCTATACTTGATTAGGCGTTTGCCTCAAGACTGGATCTCTGTTCCGAATGTATTGTCACCGCTATTGTAACCTTTTGTTGGATTTTGGGTTAATGCAGAATCTCTTGTCAAAAAAAAAAGTAGCGCTTGCCGATCGAATCGACATTAGGATAGCTAATTTTCAAATCAATTACAAATATAATAAACGAGCTTTTTTTGTTGTTGGCTTTGAGTAAATCCCGCTTGTATGTAACCCGATTCCTGGCTTCCAGGCTCCAGCTTACCCTCCAAAAAAACTGTCCGTCCGTCCCTCTAAATTACAATTTATCAAAGTGGGACCACCATTATTAACATTTTAACAACACCCAACAGCCAATCAAAATCCGAAAACGCATAAGGAAGGCAAAGAAAGAAAGGAGGATTCCACGACCCACACGCTCCACCTAATCGCGCGTGCGTTCACTCCTCTAAAACCAATACTCATTAATTTCATCATTAAACTAATCACCTCCCCCTGAAAATATCTAACCGCAAAGCCCAAGCCCAAGCCCATCCCTGACGTGTGCCCACAAAAGATTATAAAAAGCGAAGCCCAGTGGGCCCCACTACCCAATCTCGCGAAAAGATCACAACCGTCAAGATCTCTGCCACGTTGCCGTCTTTTTGCTCGACAATCTCCACTCCCCACCGTTTATATATTTATTACGGAACGGTGAATCCGTTTCGTTAGAAAGAAAACGGAACGGGGGGAAAGGAAAAATCAAAAAGGGGCACTCAGCGATTCAGCCTAGCCGTCGTGTGCCTTTCACTCTGCTCTCCCTTCCCTGAAAAGAGACAAAAGAAAGAAGAAAACAGAGCAACAAGCCGCCGCCGACGACGACGGCGAAAGCTCGGAAGGAGGAGGAGGAGGAGTTGTTCTTGACCGTTTATGGGATGGAAGGGAACAACGGCGGGGACGGCGAAACCAGCACCAACACCATCGCGCCGTTCGTTATGAAGACGTATCAGATGGTCAACGACCCATCGACGGACGGACTCATCTCCTGGGGGAAAGCCAACAACAGTTTCCTCGTCGTCGACCCGCTCGATTTCTCCCAGCGAATCCTCCCCGCTTACTTCAAGCACAACAATTTCTCCAGCTTCGTCCGCCAGCTCAACACCTACGTACGCGAATCACAACCCACCGAAACGAATTGAATCGGAAATTGGAATTGAAATTGAAATTGGGATTCCTCTGTTTATTGAACTTCCTCTGTTTTTTTTTTTTCTCCCCCAATTGTTGCAGGGGTTCAGGAAAGTAGATCCGGACAGGTGGGAGTTTGCGAGCGAGTGGTTTCTAAAGGGACAGAAGCATTTGCTGAGGAAGATAGTGAGGCGGAAGCAATGCAAAGGGTCGAGGTCGATTGAGGAGTTCATGATGGAGGGGAACGAGGAGATGGCGATGGAGATTGGGAGGTTAAAGCAGGAGCAGAGAGCGATGGAGAGGCAGCTGGAAGGGATGAGCAAGCGATTGGAGGCCACGGAGCGGCGGCCGGAGCAGATGATGGCGTTCCTCTACAAGGTCGTGGACGACCCGGACCTCCTCCCGCGGATGATGCTGCGGAAGGAGCGGATTGGTCGAAGGCAGCGGCTCCTCGCGGCGGGGCAGAAGAAGCCTCGGCTGGACATTTCGTCGAACAATTCGTCGTCGTCTTCATCCGCCGGCTTCGCGGCGGGGTCGGTGAAGTCGGAGGAGGAAGTGGAAGGTGGGGGGTTTGGAGTTGGAGGGTTCGTGTCGTCTCCGGAGAAAGGGTTCGGCAGGGTGCAGTACTCGTCGTCGCCGGAACCTTCACCGTCGCCGGAGACGGTGAGCGGTTCCGGGTGGTGTATTGGGGAGGTTAGCTACCGTCGTCCGGTCGGCGGTGGGGGGAGTGGGGTTGCTTTCACGACGTCGAGTGGGGGCGGGTATGGTGGTGGTGGGGAAGTTAGTTATTTCGGAGGGATGGCGGCGGCGGCGGAATCCAGACCACCGCCTCCGCCTCCGCCTTATCCGTTCTCGCTTTTAGGTGGTGAGTTTTAGATGCTCTGTTAGTCTGTTTGTTTATTAATTACGTGGACTTTTTTTCCTTTTCTTTCTTAATTTCCATTTCCCCCTTTGCTTCTTCATTTCATAGTATTTTTTTGGCTCTCATTATGTTGATAATTAGGGTTAGGATATTGGATGTTGCATAACTTCTGTATGTAGCTTTTTTTTCTCCATTGCTAGATTGGAGATTAATCAAAATAAACCGTGACAACACCTAACTGTAGCTTTAGAGGTTATCTTGTTAACCTCTAAGTGATTAGCGCCATTCTAATCATTATCATAGCAGTTGATTCGGTTGCTTCCATCGTCTCATCTTTCTCCATCAAATAGTAACATAGTTGGTGTTATTTTTTTCATTTGATTTTTTTTTTTTTTGCAATTAAGATATCTCCATTCTCGTCTATCTTCCCCTACTCTCTTTCTTGTCCCCCCACCCCAATCCACGCAAGCGTCGCCCCTCTTCGTGTCACTCGCTCTTTCCCCGTCGCCTCCATAATCTCGTCAAACAAGTCTATGCGTCGCTTCGTTGCTCTCTACACCACCGACTGTCGAGGGAGTCTCTATCTGCCCTCATGGAAAATGCCCACTAACCACCACGTCTACAAAATGCTCCCCGTACCGTTTATTCATAGAGTGTCGAATGGTGTCTAGATCTGAGTTCTCTTGTTCCTATGTCGAGATCTGGCATTCAGGGAGCAATGTAGTTGTCGATAGAGTGTTGTATGACCGTTATAGTTGTCGATCGAGATTGTAGTTGTCGATTAGACTAATGTTAATTATTATAGTTATCGATTGGGGGGTGTCGTTATTGTAGTTATCGTCTATCGAAACGTAACATTCAAAAAAAAAAAAAACATCATTGAATCCTCACCCTCATTTTGACCTCCACATCAAGCGGCCGATATCTGGCCAGCAGGGCCTATCAGAAAGCATCCCTAGACACAGACGCAGAGAAGGCCGGCATCGCCGGTCAGGACAAAGGGGTCATTTTTCCGGCGAGGTATACAGAATCCTGAATAGGATGAAGTTATGTCATTGTCGAATGGGGGCGTGACAGCTGGAGAATGGCGACTGTACAGGTTCGCTAAAAACACACACAGAGTCCCCATGAAAGCAAAGCATGGGGGATGGGCGGCGGGCACTGTCCCCAGCCCTCTACCGCAAGTGGCAATCCAAGTAGAGTGTGCAACAGACAACAGAACATAAAAATGGGAAACCAAGGGTGAAATATCGATGTTTGTGAAATAGACTGGAAAAATATTGTATCGTAGTTCGAATTGGTGGGCAGCTTTTTTTGGAGGTATGAAATGAATGAATTACGGTTTCAATGCAACATATGATCTGGTTGAAGTTTTCGACATACAATCTCCGATATGATTTGCAATTGGCTGGTAATGGAGAAAACATATCAGAGAAAGTCTTGTGTGAGGAATGGTTTTTATTCCATCTACTTGCAATAGCTGGATATCAAGACGAATTGATCCCCGATATAATCTCATGGTGTTTGATGCATACACAACTAACCAATACTATTAAGATCTCGTGAATGCCCGATAAATCGACGGGAGCTAGCATTTCAATCTTATAGCTTTGTCAATGGTAAGTTGGATATCGATCCTGAGAGTATATCATATCAACCCCGTGCATTTTTTATCACTTACGAGTCGGTTCATGATGTCCAACCTTAGGAATTGATTTGAGCACAGGATTTCGGGTCTTCAAACCTTGACAAACTCATGATCAATTGACTTTTGTTTAAAGAAACGAGTGAGAAATATCATATAAAAATTCACGTTTGAGATTCTACCAACAACTAATGTTATTGGTTTGATACAATACAGGTTGTATTCGACATGCATCATAGCTTTCACCTCACTCCTAACTCTTAACTCTAAAGAGCGGGGATAAGAAAAAGGATCTTACCAATCAAATACGATATACAGAGATCCTAATCACCCGGTTTATTGTAAATTGTAATGATGCCATTCGCAACACCGACATTTACACACTTGGCGACAACTCATTGAAACTAAAGAAAAACAGACATCGAGATTAGTAAGAGTTAGTGATCTCACGAGTTGTTTCTTATCTTGTTGGCACTATGATTTGTTGAAGGGGTCGTTTGGAAGTTGCGATAGTTTTGTTGAGATTGTCATTATGCATGTATTGTTTACAATGCATTGTTTTTTTAGCAGAAACAATACATGGATTGTTTCTGTGATGTGACAGAAACTATCACTCATTTTGAGTCATTGTTATATCTCAACTTTTAGTTGTGATTGTTGAGATAGTTGAGTTGGGATTGTTTTGTCTCAGCTTTTAGCTGATGCGACATACACAATCACACATACCAAACGTTGTATTCTACAATGCATCAAATTCGACAATACATGTATAATATTATACATGCATTCTCAACAATACATCTATTTAACAATCTCAACTTCCAAACGACCCCGAAATGAGAAGGATTTTTGGTGTATTGTGTTTGGTGTTTCGTTTTTTGTTGCTGTATTTCTCAAGTACGATTTCCTTTCAATCATTGGCTAGTTGCTCCTAGGATGTTTTACTCTTTGTTTTGAATTCAATGTCTATTTTTTGTCTCCATAACTGATAATTCAAAATGCATTATAAGTTTCTCTTCGAAAAAATGTAGTAATAGCTGGCCTGTAAACGACTTTTGTCTTACACCCGTGCTCATAAAAAATAAAGTTTACGAACCGATGGGGTATTGTTAGTGACTGACGGCAGAGTGGATACATAGCACTCAAATTTAAAAGTAGCATTTCATACATGAATTTTGAATTTTAATTGGCGGCATTAGTATGATATGATATGATATAACATATCTTCACAAGTCACAACTAATCAATCCATTATCCTAACTCCTAAATTTTCAATTTTGAACACCGAACCAATTGTAAGGAACCAGTTGCTCCCAATAACTCGAGTTGTTGGGAGAGGTTCAATCGTGGATCATATACCACAACACTAACACGCCCCCTCAAACGAAAGCCACTCGCAAGGGCTTGAAGTTTGTACAGGTCTGAAGACAAGAATACCATGTGCTTAACAAATGGGGGTCACCGGGAATCGAACACAAGACCTCTCGGTCACAGAAGGCTATGATACCATGTCATGAACCAGTTGCTCCCAATAACTCGGGTTGTTGGGAGAGGTTCAATCGTGGATTATATACCACAACACTAACACCAATACCCCCAATTATAAACCCTAAACCCTAACCATAGATACTAAACCCTAAATTCTTCAAATCAAAGTAAATCTTTAACCAATTTTGTGCAAATTCATGTATTTTCTTGTTTATCATATCACAGGTGATTATTAACGTCGTTTCGACCTGAATCATCTACTCAAAACACGATGATTATAAGGTGACTACATAAAAATTGAATGCACAAACAACTAAACAAGTGAGTAGGGATGGCAATCAAACCCATGCCCACGGGTATCCGACCGCCCCCGACCCAGTCAACGCGGGGAATCCCCGCTTTGACTGTGTATGGGGCGGGTATGGGTAAAACCCGCAAAATGTTTGATGGGTATGGGGCGGGTATGGTTTTAGCCTCTCCCGCCCCATACCCATACCCATACCCGCCCCACCAAGAATAATTGTTCACATATAAAAAATACATGGATGAAATAGTAATCTATCAATGATAGTGAGGGTAAATCAAAAAAATAATTAGTAGAAATGCAATTGAGTGGTCACCCAAATCAAAACCTAATTCATTTTCCTCAACTCTCTCTTCACTCTTTCACTTTTCCCTCGTGTTAGCAAGATTATATTAGTTCATTATTGCTTAGTATATGTATTAGAGTTAGATAAATAATGATTTGGATTACATTGTAGTACTCTATTTTATGGATTAAGGGAAATTTTAGGATAAGATGCTTTGAACCATATTAAGAATTATTGTCACTTTCTCGACTTCATGATATAATAGGTGCCTTTAATGTTATAATTGAAAATTTACATGTAAAATTTTATGTATTATAATGTTGGATGTACGGGGCGGGTATTACCCATGGGTACCCGAAACCCACGGGTATGGGGATGGGTTTGCAAAATCTTCCCCGCATGGGTATGGGGCGGGTAAGGGTTTGAATATTTGAAAGCGGGAATGGGGATGGTTTAGGCAAACCCGCCCCAAACCCGCCCATTGCCATCCCTACAAGTGAGTGGATCTATTACAAAACCATATATATCGAGCATGGAGGGGGAAAAAGGAATCTAATGCTTCAATTTGTTTGTCTCCGGACAAGGAAAGTTGGTATTCCTCTTACGGGTCGTTTGCTTCATGGATTTGAAAAATGAAGGTTTTGGTAAAACCTGGATTTTAAAAAACCATGGATATATGATGGATTTGGTGGCATTATGGATTTGAACAAGTCTATTGTTTGCTTGATGGATTTGATTATGGACTTTGTTTGATTAGATTTGTGGATATTAAATACAAATTACCTAGTTACCCTTATTTAATTATATTTCTATATTATAATCCAAATCTTTCATTTAAAACTAATCCAAAACATAAAAAGAAATTTTAAACTCTTTACCACTATATGGATTAATAATTCAACTACAAATATAGAAATGTATTACAATTTGGCACTAATTAACAATTCATCTTGACACTAATTAAAAATTCATCTAATAATCCTTCATAAAAAAACAATTCATCTAATAATGTACGCAATATTATGTATCAATTGCAGCTAATTGCTCGCTTTATTGCTACAACTCATCATCTTCTTGCTAACTCACCGATGTGGAATCCGACAATCAATCAAATAATAATGTACAAGATGAGCATAAAGTGTTTTTAGGTGAATCTAACAAATCACATATACATTCATATTTAAATAAAATACGATATTAAAAAATGAAATGATAAATTCTCAGTTTTATAAAATACGAAATTATAAAAGTTTACAGTTGCATGACCATTGAATTAAAGTAGGACAAATTTGTAATTAAAGAAATAATTAAGGGTAGAAAGGTAATTTACCATCATGGATTTTAATCCATCACCCAAATCCCACCTCAAGAGGTGGAACTTCCAAGTCCGTGGGGTCCACGGATTTGGAACCCCAAAAGTGGTGGGCCCCACAAATTCCATCTTCCTAATTCCCTAAGGCAAACGATGGATTTCGGTTCAAATCCATGATGGATATATTTCCATGACCAAATCCATGACCAAAACTCTCAAGCAAACGACCCCTTAATCTCACATGGTTAGCCAATCGGTGGGCGACAGACACTTGCGCCCCTTGATTTGGAAAGGTTTGTTACTCACGTGCGGTAAGTAAAGAAAGTCAATCGCCGGAACAAAAGTGGGTACCGGCAGGGAATTGATCGGCGGGGAGCCTCCGATAACATCGAGGCTGCCGGAGGAAGATGACGACGGGTATAAATAACGGATGGAGGAGACTTGGTGGCGGGAACTGGTAGGTCCCACCAGGAACAACCACATCCCCGTTTTGGGGAAATTGAGCCCTGGACGCGTGTCGGTTGTCGGAGCGAAGGAGTGAAGGGTAAGGTAACAGTAACCAACCCATCACTATTTATTTATTATTAGTTAGAAATAAATAAAAATAAAAAAAAACAAAATAACGGGACGGAAAACGAAGGGTCCACCTCAGCATCTTGACACGCTCACTCTCGGTGACAGGTGGGAAGGTGGGGACCACTTTGCTCCCAGTCAGTCAGTCAGTCACTACTCGTCAGCGGATCCACGTGGGCAGTGGAAAGAGGGCACGTGTTAGCATTTCCCGACGCCTCTTGCGCTGTTCGAGGAGCCAATGGGAGTGCCACCAGAATGTTATGGAGCCACTTAGGTCCCACCACGTGCCCTCCAGCTTGCTCATTTTGATTTGGGTTTATATGTAAAATATGTCCCCTATATTATGTCATTTTATCAAACATTGTTTCTCTTATATCTTTTTACATCTCCTAATTTTTGGAAAAATGATCAAATATGTCTTTTGTTAAAATCTCCATCCCAAAATTGTCAACTATGGTCGAACTTTAGTTTGGACGACACAAATGTCTAAAATATCCATAATAATCTCACTCTATGATTCTTTTTCTTCTTCTTTTGCATAGCTAAGTACCTCAAATAAGGAGTCATTTTTGGAAGTTAGGAGTCTAATTAAGTAATTCTATGAATGTGTGTATTCTTCACTCCCAAAAGAAAGTTTATCAAAAAGCTATGAAACCACATTGTAAGTAATTTAAATACTGACATTAAAAAATGTACGCAACAAAGCCAAGCAATCCCACACTTTGTTTTCCAAGAAAGTACAAGGTTTTCCTTGCGAAGGAAATCTGCATTCTCAAGTGTGGAACATGAATAGGGAAAACAACTCATAACCTTAACGATATCAAAAGCTTGAAATTTTCTTTTAGAGCATTTCTATCAATACAATTGCAAAAGAAACTGCATTTGTATTTTTATTGTCAACTCAATTTTTTTTGCAATCCACATCACATTCATTTCATTCACCTACATCAATGCAATTAACTTGCAATTGCAAATGTAATGAAATATTATGTTTAAATTATATAAAATTAATCAAAAGAGAAAAGAAAATAATATAAAATAAAAAAATTCCCATTTTTAGGTTTTTTTTTTACTTGCATATGGAATTGCATTTATTGCAAGCTTGGAAATATGCAATTGGTAGCCAAATCAATGCAATTGATTTTGCAATTGCAAACACCTATGACATGTCATTTTACAATTGAGAATGCAATACCAATTTGGATGCATTTCTGGTCCAGACTTCTAGTGCAAAAGCCTTGGGCTATACCTAGTTTAAACATTGGGCTTCATGACATCATCTGTGGGCTATAACCCATTTAGTAGTTCGCGATCAATAAGTAACGGATACAGTAGGCCCAATGTCACGCAAGAAGTAAACCTGGCCCTAGATTCCTTATATTTAGCCGAAGTTTAACGCCAAAACCCTAGAGGGTCTTCTTCTTTCCAATCTCCGGCGTTCAGAGCTTGCGCTGTCCGCTGTTTCGGCCCTCTCCTCTGCTCCAGGTACAGCAACAATCTCACCCTTTAATCTCCCTGGTTTAATATCATCTCCTTCGTTTCACTTGCTTGAGCTCTGAATTTTTTTTTTTTACATAAAGCAAGTGAAATTGTTGCTGTGTAGTAAACCTGTCATATTTAGGGATCTAGCCGGCTAGTTGTTATCTCCTTGACCGACCTGCTTTCGCTGTGTAGTCTTAAGATAATCGTTATTTATGGTGTCTGAATCAAGCTCTTGGGCTTCAGTTCTCCAATGGAGCTGGTTATTGCATAGTGTTCGATTATGTAATTTCGTGTTTGCTCGTTGAGCTTCCATTTCTGCGGTCTCGGCTTCCTGATTCTGATTCGACAATGGGTGGCTAGGTTTCGTTTTCCCACCATTTGCTGTTTCTTACCCTTTTGCGCTTATGTTAGATCCGTCAAGATGTACACGTCGAGGCAGAAGATCCATAAGGATAAGGATGTCGAACCTACCGAGTTTGAGGAGTCTGTTGCACAGGTTTGTAGCTCTGCTAATGGCTTTGCTGGGTTAAGCCGTAGCTTGAGCGTTAATGCCTGATATTTGGAGCTTTCCTTCCTTCTTGAAGGTATTTTTTGACTTGGAGAATTCCAGCTCGGAGCTGAAGAGTGATCTGAAGGATCTCTACATCAACTCTGCAGTGTAAGTACTTTGGTTTTTAGATGTGTACTTCCAAAATTGCAAGGTAAATTTTTCTGCTTACTCAAGGAATTATGTCCGCTACCCTGCAGTCAATTGGATGTCTCGAACAACCGCAAGGCTGTGGTTATCCACGTTCCTTACAGGTTGAGGAAAGGTTACAGAAAGATTCATGTCAAGCTTGTTAGGGAGCTTGAGAAGAAGTTCAGCGGGAAGGTATAATATTCGTCATGTGTGTACAATTTTCTGTTTGATGAAGTGCCCTTGTGACTTGTTCGTAGTTGCCATAAAGTGGTTGCCTTTGTCATTTTACCTTAGGATGTGGTTGTCATTGCTAGTAGAAGGATTGTGAGGCCACCGAAGAAGGGTTCAGCTGCGCAGAGGCCACGTAGCAGAACACTGACTTCTGTCCACGAGGCAATGCTGGAGGATGTTGTGGCGCCTGCTGAGATTGTTGGGAAGAGAACTAGGTATCGTCTAGATGGATCCAAGATAATGAAGGTATATTGGTTCACCCTTCTTCAACTTGTATAAACCGAGGTTTTTTCTCCAAGTCGCAGTATGATAGCTAGCTCTTCAACTATTTCTGCAGGTTTTCTTGGACACAAAGGAACAGATCAACACAGAATACAAGCTGGAGACCTTTTCCTCTGTTTACAGGAAGCTTACCGGCAAGGATGTTGTGTTTGAGTTCAGGGCAGCTGAGGCATAGAGAGAGATGCCTAGTCTCTGAGATGTAGTAATCCAATGCTTGTTTTTGCTTAGAATCTGCATTTCAAACTGTTTCAGAGTTGAGTTTTGACATCTGCTAGTTGAATTAGAAATCTTTGAATGTGCAATTACTTGTGGCTCTGCTTTTATGCCCTTGTTATTATTTGTCTGTGTCATTACATGAGAACTCAATTGAAGAATATGTTTTTCAAGCTCGTAGTCAAGATTATATCAAAACAATCTATTTGATTGGGCTTAATTGCAAGTTTGGTCACTCGAATTGCTATAAAATTTCACGTTTGCCGCTCAAATTAATTTATTCCATTTATAGTCACTCGAGTTGAACAGTTCAAGTTCGGTCACTTTCCGTTAACCTCCGTTAACTTTGACTGACGTGGCGGTCAACTCTGATAGTTGACCGTTAAATGTGTGACGTGGCAAATAAAAAATAATTAAAAAACAAAATTAAATTTTTAAAAATTACACATCATTATCACAAAAAAATTATAATTATAAAAAATGAAAAAAAGATTACAGTTAAGGGAAAGAGAATGACTTCACTTCCTACTGAACTTCCCGCGCTTCCCATGATTCTTTTGCATCTGGGAACCAACTCTCTTCCTTATCCTCCCTGCCAAAGAGCGAGATTTGGCCTCGTGCTGCTTGCCCGCGAGGTGTTCGATCATTTGCTTATGAGAAGTAGCACTCACCTGGCAAACCACGCACCTGAAATCTTCCTTGGGTTTCTCCCCCTCATCGTCCTCCAATTTCTCATGCTTCCCGCCTCCGAGATCGGACAGCTTCTCCACTTTGTTAGGTTCCGCGGCAGAGGCAGAAGGAGGCATGACCTCAGGCGTCGGCGGCACCGGAGGAGTAATAATGAAACGGCGCTCCGGCGGCTGTTCGGGAAATATCGGGCGCCCCGACTCCGCCGTCGAAATCGCCGGCTCCGGATCTTTCTCCCCGATCATCTGCCGACGCAACTCCGCCCTCATAACCTCCTTACGCCGCTCGATCTCCTCCGCGATTATCTCCTGCCACATCCGCGCCTTCTCAAGCTCCCGATGGAGCGTCTCGTCTGTCATCAGTTGGAGGCTCGACTGAACACCTGATCATTCCCGGCCCAAAAAAAAACAGAGGTACTCGTAAGAAACTGAATCGAAGAGTGCAGGCGAAAGAAGAGAACCGACCGAGAAATACCGAACCTCGAAACGGCGGATGAGGCACGGCGGCGGAGGGTGAAGGCCGGTGGTGGGAGGACTCAATCGGCGGCGATATGCGGTCGCCGGCTCTGCACCTGAACTCCATGCATGGAAAATGAACCTACTTGTGAACAGGGTGACGAATAACTGCTAAATGCGCGGGAGGCGGAGGGATGACGGCGAGGGGGAATTTCTTTTTGACCCGCTGCTTGTTCTTCCGTAAGGGGAAGTCGAAGATGAGGAATTGTTGTTATTGGTATTATTCGGACCACCGAGCACCGGTGAGGCGTACAAGAAATTCCCCCTCGCCGCCATCCCTCCGCCGCCCGGAGAGCTGTTGTATTCATTTGGTGGTTGCTACTGTTGTTGTTGTATTCCTCCATCTAGGCAGATAATAATAATCTTATATGGAACCCCTAGCTAGCAGTCTGTAATTAATATACAAAACCCTAGAAAACAAACTTATTCAGATCATAAAAGGGAATCAGGTGATGAAGGAGGAGACATGGAGGAGGAGGAGAAGAGAATTAGTGGAGTACTTGCAGCACCATGTAGGAGGAGTATGGTGTTTGTTATTGTTGGATATGGGTGGTTTTTTTCATTTTTTATAATTTCTTTTTTTCATTTTTTATAATTATAATTTTTTGTGATAATGATGTGTAATTTCTAAAAATTTAATTTTTATTTTTTAATTATTTTTTATTTGCCACGTCACACATTTAACGGTCAACTATCAGAGTTGACTGCCACGTCAGTCAAAGTTAACGGAGGTTAACGGAGAGTGACCGAACTTGAACTGTTCAACTAATTCGAGTGACTATAAATGGAATAAATTAATTTGAGTGGCAAACGTGAAATTTTATAGCAATTCGAGTGACCAAACTTGCAATTAAGCCTATTTGATTGGGATCCGTATAGGGTTGATCTCAATTTCCAAGGAACAATGCTCATGAATTGCACCAGGATTTTACACTCTTGTGACGAGCCATCAACACTTTGGAAAGCCCAACTTAGTATATACGAAGTCTGTAGACCAAAAAATTGAAGTTGGGGAATCAATCGTGGTTAGGAGCTCTATCCATTCTCCATTAGACAGAAGAATACGGTAGTAGAGAATATGAAGTGAAGAACATTGAAGAACGAAGTACAATTCGTTGAACAATGAAGTTACTGTTATAAAATAACCTGTTGCTGGCTTGCTGCTCACTTCCAGCTTCTTCCATTCTCGCGACTTCTAATTACGACGACGGCAGAACAGGAGCCGCCGTAGAGAAAAATTTGGCATAAACATCCAGATAAAACTTGTTGACGATGTCGAGATATTCAGGGCAGCGGAGTCGAGAGTAGTAGTGGAGAATTTCTTCGAAGTCCAGAGCATGCACCACCGTCTCGAGCTCCTTCAGCTTCCGCTCCAAATGTCATCTCCTTTCGTCGAGCTTCTCCTGTCCATCATCTCCCATCTTGGGCAGCGATTTCGATCTCGATTGATACCTCTCGCTCTTCTAACTCTGAGTCCTCTGTGTTCTTTTATATCAAACAGAGTAATTAAGCAAGAAGACGTGATACTTGTCAAATATGCAACGAGATTTTGTAATCAAAGTAGTTTGATTTATGAGGTTTCTGATATACTCTAGGGAACTTGTGGTCTCTTTTATGAATTTTTTGTTCTGGTTTCAGGGAATTTATGATTTGTTTTTATGAGTTTTCTATTATGTTTCAGTGAACTTGTGGTCTGCTTCGAATTTTTTGTGTGCTTTAAGAATTTTGTGGTGTAGTGAAGTTCTGATATGCTTTTAAGGTTTTTTTGTCCACTTTATATTATTTGTGGTGTATTTTCTAACTTGTGTTTTATGGTATGTTTCATGATACTTTTGTTTTATGGTATGCTTTTAAGGTTGTTTCATGACACCTGTGTGCTGCCATAATTTTCATAATAATAAAAAGTAAAAAGTAAAAAGGATTTGATTAGCGTTAATAACACTAGTCTTGAATCAGTAGGTGTCCGATTCGAATCATATAAATAGTACCTAAGAAAAAAGTAATTCTATATCATTATTGTAATTGTGAATCTTTGATCAGCTCCTTACAATTTAAAGTTATCGAAATTAAATGTTGTTATAACATCCTAAGCTCTGCTGATTGGATACATACTACTACATACATTATACATTTGCTAAGACCCATTATGGGCTTTGTACTCTGGGCCTGTAGGTCATATGGGCTTCGCTGTGTGACCCAACCAACCAAACGGATGTTCTGAGACCCATTAAGTAAGGCCTCCTATCCCCTATAGCACTCACTAGACCAGTACGGGAAGAGATGGGAAAAGGAAAGCGATGACTACTAAATAAATGTATATCAAATTTATCATCCATTTGATAAATTAAAGATGGATATAAAACGGGGATCGGTTAGCATGCTAACCCTTGTATGAGTTGGCAAAATGACAACCCCTATTAATTATAGGTTTTTAAGGTAATTAATTTGTGTTGCATTTAATAATCTGTATGAATTAAAAACACATATTAATTACTTTCCTTTTTCAGTGCACTGGTAGTTGTATCAGTGCACAGTGCACTGGTATACTGAACTCATATTAATTACGTTCCTTTTTTGGAACTACCATTGCAGTGATACATCTACCATTGCACCTGTACACAACTACCAGTGCATCAGTGCACTGAAAAAAGGAAAGTAATTAATATGTGTTTTTAATTCATACAGATTATTAAATGCAACACAAATTAATTACCTTAAAAACCTATAATTAATAGGGGTTGTCATTTTGCCAACCCTTTTATGGGTAGACATGCTATCTCATCCCTATAAAACGTGTTATACAGATTCTATACTTGTTTAGTATGAGAGCCATTAAATCGACGAAAAAAAAAAGGAAATAAAACGATGTATACCTTATACAGAAATGAAACTTTTAAACGGATAAAATACAGACGGCCACATATATCGTGTACTTGATGAAAAGGGAAATCAAGGAGTATTGTTTGAAATACCGTGACAAAACAGGCCCTCGCATCGATGGATCAGCGACTTGTTGACCATCGTCTTAGCTCCTTTTTTTTTTTCTTTCTCCTGACCGTTTGGTCTTGTATATATTCGTATCTTGCCATTCCTTCCTGAATATCTTTGGAAAAAAAAAAAAAAAGAAGGGAGTATCGTTTGAAATAAATGTGACCACCACCGGTACACAGGGAGAATTAATGAATAAAGAGAGTAGAAGGCCAGAAGAAGAAAGTAACGTGCATGCATGACCGATATTGCAGATTTTGCAGTAGTTTCTTTCTTTCTTTCTTTCTTTCTTTCTTTCTTTCTTTCTTTCTCGGCAGAGAGATAAAACCCTAAACCGAAACAGCGACCTGAACTGCTTTTCACAGCTTCCAAATCTAGCTATATAGAGATAGAGAGCGAGCTAGCCTTCTTTTCCTGCCTGCAGATTGGAGGCCGGGCTTTGACAGCAATGTTACGTCCCAATTCAAGTTTACCCTTTCCCCCGTTTTTTGTTTCATTTGCTGGGTTTTTCATGACAGAGAGAAATAGAGAGAGGTTCTGTAAAAATTGACAAAGGCAAAAAAGGGGAGTGGGGTTTTCGGTCTTTCCTAAAAGGGAATGCAAATGGGGAAGAAGAGTTTGGTGGAGAAGATGGCAGTTCTATTGCTATCTAGCTAGCCATTTATTAATTAGCATCAGTACTTGTAGGGATGAACGAAAACAACTGCAAACCCGAACCATTCGTCCAATCCAACCCTACACACCCGTATTTACCGCTCAAAATAATGTTTAAGGGTCCGACAACCGTTTACTTTTATGGAACCCCGTCTCATTTGGGTTATCTGCGGATTTTGAATTATACAAAAAATAATAGATACCCGCCTCAACCCATGTTACAACTATTTTTTCAAGTGTTGGTATCCAAAAAGATACTTGTGTCATATATAGACAGATTTGTGATGAAGTTATTAGGATATGTTATCATGCATATTTTTCTCTCTAACCTAATGCATATTTTTCTCTCATTTGGGTTATCTGCGGATTTT